TGGAAATCACCTGGGGCACAGCTGCTTTTCACCGGACAGAATGTCCCGAGACTTTTTGTCAGGTGAAACGCAGCGTGGAAATATAGCAACGCACCGCAACAGCATGTATGTGTCATTTCAAATACATACCCTTGTTTTTTTCGATCCGGTGAAACGCTGTGGTGAAATGAACGCATCGCAACGCCGCACCGGACCACGAACCGCGTGAATGTGTCTTTAGCTTAACCTGAATTAAGGTCAAGGGTTTGATCCCGACATAGGTCGAGATTATACCTTCGGATTTTTCAACACGGTTTCCCCCTGCCAATGATGAAGGTATGTAAGAGAGACTGACATGGAAAAAGCGTCTAGTCGTTCGTATAGGACAATAAACCGAGGCCCCGTGTGCTACAGGCTGTGCGAAAAAGAGCAGGTTAATGCCGCTGTCCTGGTAAACTTTTCCTCGTGGCATTGCCCGTCTTCATTAGCCCACATGGTACAGACCCATTCATTTCATTTCTATTCCAGTGGAATGTTTCTGACATAATTGTGAGTAATCGCATCTCTATTGTCATTCTCATAAAAGTGATAACTGGATTCGGTTATATAGTGAATTAAACACCTGAATTAATAGAAGCTTGCTGTTGTTTTACTGTGCAATTTAACTCATTGGTGCCGTGTACCCTGTAAGCATAGAACAGCATACTGATTATCATTAAAGGGAGTCAAATTCATTTCAACGTGAATACTACAGACAACATCCAATATAGTATCTCGGCTACTCCTCCTGTGTTGTTAAATTCGACTGACGCGTCATGCATATTCATATTTGAAATAAATTGAATTGTCACAAAATAGACAAGCATGTTAGAGAACAGTATGAGTTCAGTTTGGAAATAAAACATATTTTGTAAGCAAGAAAGAAGTTGATTTCGTCAGAAAACAGCTGTAATCAGTACCATGTGATGCATCACGTGATACACACGACACGCCCCCATTGGGCCGACGGTCCAGAAAAATATTTGTCCACCTTTGTACTATGAAGTTTGACCCGAGGAAATACCCAGGAATTCCCTTCGTCTGCTAGCTTATTAAAGACAGTTATCAAAGATGAGTGAAAGTTCAACTGGCGAAGGTAGGTTTGGACTTTGATCCGATATCATAGCTTTAATTCTATAAAGAAAACACTTATGTTATAATCAACTGGGCCAGATTGCTTCTTTCATTCACAGTGCGCAGTCGTATCAGTTTTTGGAGAGAGTTTCTTTATTTAAAGTAAGATGAATTCGCTACTGACAGTGTATTATTTTTGAAGAATTAAATAGTTTAATTTTCATTTGATAAATGGTAGATCAAAACGTTTATCATGACAACAATTTTCTCCTTATTTTCTCACTTTTTTTGGAGAAGGTAAAATTATGGAATGTTTATTTCATGTAAATAAAACGAAACGATGATATAGCATTTTTTTACGTAACATTTATACTTGTCTTGATAAGATTTACATGCTTGACCCAAATTGTATTATTTCCCAATACTTTATATCATAGAATCTAGTTTGTAAACCAATATAATGAAATGAGCTTATACATAATAAATTTGTCTTTTTTTTCACTTCAAAACCATTGAGGTGAGGGACATGCAAATATTGTATTTCTATCTCAGATTGAGTAGTCTGTGGAAAGAGCCCTGTGGAATGAACAATGAAATGTTGTCTCTACCTAACCACTGCCTCTTCTGATTAAAATCTTAATCAACTTAATCAGAAAAAAGGATTGTCATCTGGTTTGTGAATTATTATCCACCTCTGTAAAAATGTTACATTCCTATGGTCCTAAAGATATTCTTTGATGAAAATTTCATTTCCGGTACTTTACAAGTGTCAAAAGCTGCTGGTACTTTTTTTTGTCAAAAATCTTTATCTACCCTAATTCAACTTCCTCACCAATAATATCCAATGCATCGAAGGTTGAGTGATAATAATGAGCAGGCTTTCAATAATACTATAAAACCCCAATATCGGTATCAAATTTGTCTGTTGGCATCCCTTTTTTGGGCAGTGTGTAAATGATCTCCTTTGTAAATATTAAAAAATTTGTAAAAATTAAATTTTGAAGACATCCAGAATGTGTCAGGAAAGCCTCTGAGAACAAGTTTAACCTCATTTCCACCATAGTTTTAATAGGTATAGCCAGAAATTATTTATTATTTTAAAATATTCATATCATGAAAATTAAACTTGTATGAGTTGAATTAGCAAATATATCCAATTTGATATCCAAAATGTAAATTTCAAAACCATCATTTTGAGTAACAAAGGAAAAGCATTGCCAATAACAAAAATATGAAACATAAAATTATACAATCTAAAAATGCTTACAAAATTGATATGTTTATGTGGAGAAACAAAACTGAAGTAAAACTGAAGGTATGATAACATCTGAGAAATTTCATGAGGTTGCATTAGAAACCTAAATAAAATGATATGATAAAGATCATGGTGCTAATCCTATCTTGATGAGTGTGTCAGTATGTCCTATCTTATAAGTATTATTTCCTATATAACAGTCATTATCAGCTGGAGGAAGGTGATTGGGTATACATTGTATGTCCCATGATATTATTTTATATAACCTACTCTCTCATAACCTATAACTTACTTTTTATCTAAAAACTAACCCAAATTTAATTTGAAATAAATGGTTCAGACCTGACTATTTATAAACTAAAGTAATTAGTGTGCTAGAAATGATATACTTGCTTTTCTGCTTCTGATAGATGAAGTCAGTCATTGCAGTGTCTAATAAGGAGCAGTTTGCCATGAGAGCAGATAGAATAAAATGAAGATTGTAATGAAGAGACGCAGGTCATTTCAGTTTGAATAAAGATTTAATGAAATTGTGTCAAGATTGAACAAAGCTCATTTCTTCAAGAATTAGGTTAATGTAAGAATGTCATTTAAAGGATGTAGGATGGGGTCTTTATGTTATCTTAAATACTGTCATCTCATTAATTATCTTAATTGTTGAGTTTTTACAATTTTCTATTTTTATCAGAATATATTCTTTGCAAGCATTTAAATTTCGAAACATATGAAGCCCTATAGTATATTATAGTACTGATTAAGATGTAATTTGTAGGTGCACCTTTTGGGAAAAGAATAAATGCATGAAGATGATACTTTGGTAATACTTGTTGGATTTATTTCCCAGTAATGATGTTAGTTTTGGTGATTATGTTAAGCTTCCCAGACTGCATGTTCTTGAAATGATCTTAATGCTTAGATGTCCTAGGAAATGAAATGAATGGAGTTTTACGTCCTACTCTTCTGCACCTTGTGGGCTAATGAAGACGGGCAACGCCATGCAGGGTGCCATGAGGGAAATTTTGCCAGGACAGCGGCATTAGCCTGCTCTTTTTCGATTTCCAACTGTCGAGGGATCTTTAACGTGCACAGCTTGTAGCACACGAGGCCTCGGTTTATTGTCCCATCCAAACGACTAGACGCTTTTTCCATGTCAGCCCCTCTTACCTGCATCACTGACAGGGGGAAACCGGGTTGAAAAATCCGAAGGTATTATCTCGACCTATGCCGGGATTGAACCCTGGACCTTCAGGTTAGCGAGCAAGCGTCTAACTCACTGAGCCACCGCGGCTCCCTAGATGTCCTAGGAGGGTCTAAACTTCTTTCTCTACTTCTAGGATAAGATCGTTTTGAGATTATGTAGCCAGGTCTATATTTACAGAATCAAAAAAATGCCATTGCTTGTAATAAAATCAGGAAGAGGAAAGGGTCCAGAAATCAGCTTAGTGGTGTAAGATTCTTATTTGTACCTGCTATTGGGTACAGAGGATAAGAATTTTTGAAGGCCAGAATGGAAAGGGAAGTTCAATGATGAATCAAAATCCTAATATTACATAAATGAAGGTTAATGCGTATATAGTAGTCTAGTTGATTTCAATTGACATTATTTCTAAAAGAAGTAGGTTTGAATAATAAGTGCAATGCTTTGTGAGTCACATTTAGTCTGTCATCAGTTTATCACATGTAGTGTTCTTTCCTGTTAAACTCATTCAGTACTTAACTCTACAAATCATCACTAATACAGATTTACATTTTAAAGACAAACACCAATTGATCATTTTAATTTTTGATATATAGTTGATTGAAATGGGAGTTGATTTTCGTTATTTTGATACAAGTAAGTTAAATATTTATATTAACTATACGTTAAAATTGTACATTTCAATTTCAAATTAAGCCTTATCAAACCCTTTACAGTTTTGTTTTCTGGTAAATGATCAATCTGATATCTCTATATGTATTTAGCAAGATAACGCTACGTCTATCAATGCTATGGTTTATTATGATCATTTGATCCATAGTAGGTATGGTGAAACTTGATTTCAACTTATCTTAATAACTATATTGATATATAATATATATACTAAAATAGAGCATGATACTCTTCAATATAAAGTGAATAAAAGTTAATCAGTGACTACTTGAATTGATTAGGTTTATGTCACCAACTCTTCCATCCCCTGATGTTTATTTAAACATCATATGAGGACATTTGATCCCTATCTCCAATATTTTCAGTTTGTTTTTACGATTAGTTTCTTGAATATTAAAATAACCACTTGTAATGTAGCAATAAATGGATCCCTATTGCTTCCTAATGTCATATGATCTAAAGATGAATAGTAACTAATGGTGTTATACCTTAAAAAGTTGATGTGAGGCATGTGGTTCTGAATTTACTGTTTCTTTCTGAAGGAATCTGACGGATTTAAATATATTGCTGTGTTGGATTTCATTTTATGTTGATAGAAAAAACTGAGAAAGCTTATCAATAAGAAGTGTAATGTGTTAATTTGGGGTCATTAATGTATTAGTCACCATCAATATATAGTTTCTGCTGTCCATCATCAATTGTTTCCTTCCTGTCAACTATACAGCAATATCCAGAAATAATTAACCCCATCTCCTGTCTTACCAGTCTTCACCAATCTTAATGATGCATGATAAGATCAACTATCATTGCTCAACACCATCGGCTGTTACACACAATCCTAGAGTCAGACGCAGTTTCCACTCAGAAATGATGAATGATGGGAATAATTGGAATTCACATGGACACAGTAATTCCAGAGGCTGGTACCATCAACCTAGAGAGGTGCCACACTCAGTTCTTCATGCTACTTCTCAAGATCAGTACCAGCTTGGTTTTACAGAGCAGATACCAATGCCTCCACCATCATATTATAAAGGAGTTGTTGGAGCTGCTCAAGGTCATCAACAGTTCCGACCTGCACCAGTCAAACGACAACAGTTTTCATCTTGTAGATTTTATAAATCCAATATTCATGATGCTCAAACTTACCATGATTTTAAAGTTATTCAAAATTTATTGATTAAACAAGGTAATATATATTTCTTATTTCAACTATCTCTTTTCACATTCCCATCTATAAAATAAAAGTGCAGGTTTTCAGGCATTTCTGATTAGTTAAAGACATTGATTTATTAAGCAAATAGTAATGAACTTACTTAGTGATAGCCTATTTAGTTGAAATGAAGTGTTTTTCACTTGAAGTATTCTTTATGTCACTTGGTAAGAAAATCTTATTTTTCACTGAAAAAGAAATGGTCATTAACCTGTGTTTACTGAGTTAAATCAAGCTAACCATTAAGTACATGTACAGGTATATTTGTTTTGGATACTGATACTAATTCTCTTTTCATTTGACTAGAGATATGAAATATGAATTGAGAAAGCTGGTTTGAAATAGGGGTTGAATTTCAAAATGTTTGGACCAGGACATAGGGTATCTGAATTGAACTGGAGCTAAAGAATATTCTACAATTCAAAGACGTGACTTGTATCCATTAGACCAGAACTCATTATGTGCTGTTAGATGTATGTTGTTGGCGCCCATTCATATTACTTTATAAACGCTCTGAAATCGTAGTTTATAACCAGTTTTATTAAAAATGTGAATCTGACTCTTCATCTATGATATAATAAAAAAAAACCCTTTTCATATTGACAAAAGAGCAACAGGTTGCTGAAATCAGGTGATAAAACACATATTGAGATGCCATATACTCTATTCAATTGATTAATTGTTATAGAATGGGAGCCAGGTGTATTTTGATTATTAAATTTATATTTTTTGATTAAAGATGGATGAATGAATAAATTAAGTTTATCATGAATAATAATTTAGTTCCTAAAATTGAAAATATTAACCGCTTATGCTTATGGTTTTTAATTTATATTTGTAGATTTTTTCATTTGTTTGTTCTTTATATGCTTCATTAAATGTGTTATATCCTGTATTTAGACTTCCAGAATTAGTTAATTGGGGTATTTGAGTCAAACTGACACTAATGCCTTCAGCCAACAGCAGTTAAGGGTTAGGATATTGTTTGGTATTTTTAGAAACAACAGTAACATTTTGTAAATACATTATACATATTGATCATTTTTTAATAATGACAGAATAAATTTGAATTGAAAGAAGATTGTTACAGCTTCTGTTGTGAACCCAGAAATACTGACTGTCCGAATTTGGACATGATTTTTACCTTTACCTTTTACATTACAAAAATCATCTGTTCTCAAAAAGGTATGTGTAATGCAAACAAGCAAGCTTTCTGAGAACGGTTCTAATATTGGTCCACTTTGGGAAGGTGGTCTTTGAACAGACTTAATAAATTAGGATGATGTACATGGTAACAGTTTATTGTGCATGTCTTCTAAGAATTTGTCAATTTCAACTCTTTAAGAAGAGTTTGAGAGATAAGTTTCCAAGAACAGTTTTCATTTATACTACAATTGAAGAATCTTTTAGTTTATAGGGCCTGGTGTAAAAGTCTATTGTCCCTTGTAAAACTTGTATGACTGTATGTCAAACAAACACAGTCTTGATTTGGTAAGAACAGGGTGCAGTAAGCCAGTATCTAATTTAAGATTAAGAGCAACTCCTACTTAATATGGAATTTTATATTTATGTTTTCTCGTGACGAGTTTAAACTTTTGTCTTAGTGATTTTGAAATGACAAATAAAAGGTACAATAAACTACAATCTTACCAATGTCATATCAGGTCAAGAATATCATTTAGATTCATTATATATAAACTGTATATTTACATATCATAAAACATTGGCAATATTAGTCTCAATCACCAGCAACTTTTTGGTGAAAAATATATAGGGTGAGATTTAGCACAAGTTGAGCTCTTACTTCAAACTACTTGAGAAAGAGGCTTATTTGCTGGCATTTCTGTTTGGAAGAAAGAAATTGAAATGGCAAAGATTTTTATGAAAAAGAAGTCTTTAAGAAGATCAATTGTTGGAATTGTTCTATATTAAGATCAATGATAACAGGATAATCAGGATCATACAAAACAATATTGTAATAATGAGATGGATTAGTGGGGATTAGCCATGTTCAGAAATAGATGGTATATATATATATATATATATATATATCATTTGGTAACATCCAATGGTCAAAATGAGTGTTATACTGAAATATGCAGTGTGATGAAGATGTAGAATTTAGAAACCAGAACAAGCTTCCATGATGTAAACATTTAACTCAACACCTTTAACCAACACAAGTGAGGCTGCAGAGATACAGGGACACTGAAAAACAGTTCCTGTTTATCAAGAATGTTGATGAAAAACCAATATAGTATTTAAGTCATACTAGTTTATGTGAGATGGTTTTATTAGCTGCTTTATTCATGGCATCATTGAAAGCGCAATATACAGAGAGTTGATCAATTGCATTGAAATATTATATACTACATGTACTCTTAATTTGTTTTGAATAAGTTTTATTCCCTAATTTGGTGTATTGTTTTCGAAAAGCCAAAGATTTAAACTGAAACTTACTAGATTTGTGCTATTTAATCCATAGCAAGGAAGAATAACTTTTTGGAGGACTAACTTGATCTATTGTGTAAGGCCCAACCAGTTTTGCTTGAATAGACCTCTTTAGGAGAAAGATATTACTCTGGAGCAAAATTTGGGGGCTGATTGTTTCATTAAGCATGATCTACCTTACAGTATTTGGTTTTTGGTAGAGAAAATACAGATCAGTTTATGAATGATTAGGACGTGGTAAAAGAAAAATTGGTGATTGAAACTGAAAAAGTAAATCGTTGTTATCACTCTAACCCCACTTTAAGACAAATAGAAAGTAGAACATTTAGAGAGTAGTGACCCATATTTTGACCTAACATGACTGGGTAAAACTATGTATAAATTAAGATTAAGCAATTTCGGGATCTAAGGTTTGGGTCATTTTTTTAGAGAATGATAATTTAAGATGCCTACATAAGGATCGGTGATTCTATATTTAGTTATTGCATTCCTTATGGGAAATCAAAAGGTTTTAATTGATATTTAAAAAGGAATAGTGTATTTGGCAATAAGTTTTCAGGGAGACAGATATATTAATGCAGTAATTGTAATTGATAAGAATTATTCTATATATGGTGACAAGAAGTAGAATAATAGGTATCTAAAATATTCGTCTGATAATTTCTTAGTGATAAACATTTTGATTATATTTGACACTGGTTTGAACTTGTTAAAAAATGTGTGATACATCTATTATGATGTTGGAAGGTCTATTAAAAGATGAAAAAAAGATGGAATATTGTTTGGATTGGGAGGATATTGAAATAGAGAGTACACTAAAAGGTAGGAATGAATGGATGGCATTTTGTACCCCATGTATTTAATCTTGTGTACCATGAAAAATAGTTTGATAGTTTAATATTTTCTAAGTATATTTATGATTGTACGTTTATCATTTTGGATTTAACCACAATACAATGATAATGATATTTTAATAGAGATATTTGTAAATTAATTTTTAAACTGAAGTACAGTTTAGATTGATTTTTTGTTAGAAGACCTGATTATAATGACTCATAAGATAATGCATGCTTTTTAGAAATACATCGCAAAGCAAAATTTTTGTCCTTCTGAATATTCATTCTTCATTGAAATCTTTGCTTTATCTTTGACATAAACCACCAAGATCATTTCACCATCTGAACCCAACAACTACCATTGCTGTTGAACCATCAACTTTGTCTTAATCTACAATGAACATTGTTTTGAACCATCAACATCATCTTAATTTACCATCAAATTCATCTTAATTTACCATCAACATCATCTTAATTTACCATCAAATTCATCTTAATTTACCATCAACATCATCTTAATTTACCATCAAATTCATCTTAATTTATCATCAGCGTCATTGTCATTTACAATCATCATTGTCCTCATCTACCATCATCATTGTCTTCATCTACCATCATCATTGTCTACAACATCATTTCTGCATGCAATCAATAATAAACACTATTTGACATAACCTTAATTAAACATGTTCTGTGAAATAGAGTATTTACAGGCAGATCTAGGTCACTTTTCAAGGACACCTATTAGTAATTCAAAAAATAAATAACATTTTAGTTGAAAATTTCTTCACTTGTTGAAAGAAGTTTGTATTTATATCGTTCAATCTAAGTCTATTAATAAATAATGTTATTCAATCATAGCACATGAATAAGTTCTTTGCCTGTGCCTTGTACAAGTTGTCATGCTAATATGTATTTGTATAAGAGACCATTTTTACTCTCAATGTGGTAATCTAAATATATTTTTTTCTCTCACATATAAAGTCAATATTACAATGATGACACAGCTAAAATACTTTATATTTCAAATATTATGTTTGAAGTTGTGTGCAGTAGATTTTATTATGAATAGATGATATAAATGTTGTGTAAAAAGCACATGTTATATTAATTATGATCTCATTAAAATGATATGAGGTAACCTTGAAGTTGTTGATAAATAAAGAATTAAAATAGACTTTCTATGTTATAGAAACCTTGGTGTTAGTTTAATGCATCAAACTAATACACTACTCAACTTGTTGCTTATATTTCTAAAAGTTATTGTGCAAGTTCATTTTTATCTTTTTTTCCCTTTTAGTAAACATTTAACCAACCACCAGGTTATTTAGCCAATAACGGCCTATAAGCAGCTTATGAAAAAAGAAGCTGCATACTTTTGGAAAACTCCTAGTGGTGTCATTGTAGTAAAACATCCCTTTTACTATAGAGAAATTATATTGTATTATTGTATTCAGTTTAAACTTTTAAACTTAAAGTATTATGTTAGGATTTTTATGTTAATCATATTAAAGTTGGTTTACAATCCACCCAACACAATACAATAACAAATTACTTTTTCTTTATATTTCTAGTAAATATTTAAATTATTTCTATTTATAGACTCAGATGGAGGTGGCGGTGGTGAAAATGGCAGCCCTAATTTTACAGGTGAGAGGTTAACTTTTTCAATGTGCTTTCAGAATAGTAACAATTACAATATATGTGGAACCAAAAGTTAAGGAATACTATTCTTGGTTATTAAAGGAATACTATGTCTTAGAATGAACATAAAATTTAATAATTTTAAACTTGGCCAATACATATATTCATCAGTAGATATATCTGGTGTCATAAATAACATAACAGGATCCTTATATAATCCGATAAATCCAAAAAACTTAGTAATTATCCATAAATTTGCAATTATCTAATTTGAAGACGCTTAATATTAAGATTGAGCGTTTTTCAATTATTACTTAGTTTTATGAGTTTTCCAATTTTCCAAATTTTACAGGGATTCTGTTGTAACTTTATGACACTAGGTAAGTTCACTTGAAATTTTATGTTCATTCTAAGATGTAGTATCACTTAACGAAAAAAATGTCTTATAATGATGATAAATACATTTCCTATAGGTTCTTCTGTCTTTTGTTAATCCCTTTGAAAAAAACTTAAAAAACCTGAACACATTCTTTCACTTGTACTTTTGCTTTAGTTAAATGATTGATTGAGCTCATATCTATCATTGAGGTAAATATACAGCTTTGTGTAGTCAAAGTGCTGATGTAGGCAACAGTGAGAGAGTCTTACGTCTTTATATTAAGTTTGTATTGTTGGAATGATTCCATTGATTTTGTATTTTGGTCAGGTGTATATATTTGTATATATATAACTGTGATAGCAAGGCACCTGTTCATCTCAAACCTTTCTCAGATTTTTTTCTGATAAAATGAGTTAGCTATAAAATAAATGTATCAATCAATCAAATAGGCTGGGATTTTAGGTTTTCAATCCTATCCAATAGCAAATTGATGGCATGGACATACGTCTCTCATATTACACAATCCTGGTTTATAAATGCTATTTACAATCATATATATCTTCTATCTAATGGAAGAAGTTTAGTTTCACCTGTTTATCTTTCAATTATTATTCTGACATCTATTATCCTACCTTTTAATCTAATCTTAAACTCTTGATAAGTTAGGTACATTGTGGTAGTGTTAATATCAGTTTTAACTTTAGTATGACTTGCAATAAAAACTATCAAAATAATATTTAGAATATAGACCCGGCTTCAACAAATCCGCAGGCACATTTTGTAAAAAAAGATTTTGTATAGCCCTGATATAGACCATCATTCTGATGACTGTGGATGCATCATGAACATGTCACATAACTTTCTCTACTTAATGGTGTCTCCCTCTGAATCTGATACTTACAATCAACCTCAATCAACAGATCATGCTAGTATTCTAGATTTTTCAAATCCCATATCAAGTTCGTTCACATGGTAACCTCTCTACATGCTATTGCTAGTTCACCTCATCAGTATGTTTATTATACAATTTACTTTCTGTAATGTATAACTTTCAATATGTGAGCGGTTGAAAAGTGGGTAGTAAGTTGCCAAAATTCTTGTCTTTCAAGAGTTAAGTGCTTGCTTGCAAAACTTTGCTATAAAAGGATCAATCTTAGCACAGGTAGAATTTTTCTCTTAGTATTTGATACTTAAATAAAAAAACTGCCAAATATTGGCAAGGATCAGTGTGTTTTTTTTAACCAACCATGATATTTCAAGAAGTGCAAGACAATGAGCAAAAAATTTATGAATGGATGGAGTCTTACTGAACTTCTTCCGCTTTTTATGCTTCTAGTTTGCAAACAAAATACAGTACTGGTAAGTGCAATATCAACGGTGGAGCTTCTTCCTATGATACTCTTACAATTGGCAACAAGAAATACAGTTTGAAAAAAAAGGTCAAATAATTTGATGTTAATACTTTTGATTAAAAAGCTTGCGTGTTTATTGGCTGCTTTAAATTTGAAACACAAAACTTATTTATTTGTATGACCTGTGAATAACAAGATTGTCATATGTCCTTGAAATAGATAGATATAAGACCTTACAACTTAAAAATTTAGAGATCAGAATTCAACTTTTATATACGTCCTCATGAAAATGTATATTCCCTGTCCATGCATCAACATTTCTTGACACAATAGAGGCTCCAGATTTTATCTGATGAAATTTGCAATGGATGTATACTTCTGGGTCAAGTTGGATATAATGGTAGTAATTAGAACAAAGGTTTCAGACTTATAGTCCTTGACTTAGTAATACAGCGTCGATTTTGGCTTGTAGACATGGTAGGGGCTATAGTTTTTTATCTGATCTTGATGAAACTTGGAATGCATGTATGTATTGATGAGATCTCGGTCAAGCTTGAATTTGAGTAATAATCTTATAAATGGTTTCTCATTTATACCCCTTGACATGGAAATCTGTCAAATTTGGCTTGTAGACATGATAAAGGCTACAGTTTTTACCCAATCTTGATGAAAGTTCAAATTTGGTAGTAAAATTGATTTTGAGTTATTGACCCTTGAATTATTTTAGTTTACATCTGAATTGGATTAAACCTGGTGTGTAAGTATATATTGATGAGATCTCGATCAATTTTGATTTTAGTAGTTTAGTTATTGCCCTTGACATTTCTGACAGTTGCCAGTGGGCATACATTACTTTGCCTGGCAAGCTATCTTTCAATATAAGTATTTTACATCATTGCACCAATTCATTGAATAAGAAGGTTATCTCTCTATATTGTAGATATTTTTTATAGTCTGATAATTTGAGGCCACTTAATCATAGCTGTTTTATAAATTCTTAAATAGAATTGTATTCCATTTATAAACTGACTAACATACCTTGATCACTATCTGTCAGACATCAAATACCTTACTCTGCAATGTTTTTTTTTTTATAAAAATGTTTGAAATTATATTGATTTGAAATCTGATGAGTGAAAATTGTAATCAATGATATAAATAATAATAATCAGTGATATTAATACTAGTTGTACTATAACCTACATGTTTAATACTGATTACTCTGTCCAATGTTCAGGGGACAGTGTCCAAATAGAAACCTTTAAACTTCCAATACAATATATATATCATTGTCTTAATTAATATCTTATTACCAACGTTTTAATTGATACATTCATTGGTCACTTTCATTGTAGCTTAGTTAACATTAGAGTCTTGTCTTGGAATTTATAACTCTATGCCAAGTGTTCTCTCTGGAATATTTAACTCTGTTTCAATAAATATGGAGTAAGTGATATTTATTTTTTTTAGTCGTACAATATTTTGGGTTTAATTCAATTGGACTAGATTCAACACGGTGAAATCATAGAGCCAAATCTGAAATTTGAGTAGAAAAATATTGTTTGTTATCAATTAATGAATTAGAAATACATGATATAAACATGAATATCTAAGACAATTAGAAATTCATTCTAGTTGTTCTATATTTTTCTTTTAAACATAGATATAGACATGTATAGAATTAATTATATCTCTTTAAAATACACATGATTGTGAATATTTTACTGACAAGGCTGTTTTGTGTAGGTTGTTGGTGGCATAATGGTAATAATAATTTTATAGAGTTTACTGTTGGTTGAAAGTCAACTGTTGAATATCTGTCCTCACAGTATACTAAATGCTACACTCCCTCAAGGTACAAACAAATTTTTGGTCAGTATTGCATTGGAATTGTTATAAATATATAAGAGTAGTCTCCCATGTATTACAAATTTACTAAGCAGAAACAACAGTGATAGATAATTCAGTATTATCATTCTCCTTCAGATCTATTGATAATAATCCTCTGCTCTTTGTTTGGTTTTTGTATTCTTAAAGATTGTTTAATATTTAACAACTAAATGAATTTTCTGATCACTTGAACCTAAACTCAAGGTTTACAGATGGTCACAGATTTTCAAGGCAGTTGTTTTTACATGGTAAGGTTTTTGTTTTTAGCAGATTTTGAATCTGAATTTGAATCATTTGGAAATAGAAAGACTTATTATTGTTGATAAATGTCGCTTTTCCAATCAATACAAATTGCACCTATTTCTGCTAATTTTGAAATAAATTTGAATTATGTAACATTATATTCTCATGTGATGTTATTGATACTTGTAAGCCAATGGAAAACAATGAGATAGATAAGTATGTTGAAACTTGTTATTTTTCTGACTGTAGATAAAGAATCCTCCCCTCGTTTGATGTTTGATATGATTAGATGATATTGATGTAAATATAAAGTGATTTGAACTCTTATCACATTCTTAACTTATAACAAGTTAAACCATGTTCTAGTAGATATATATTATCTTATCTCTTGAGTATTTAAAATTATTGATATTGATAGTTTGATTCCTGGAAGATCCAGTTTTTTGATTGTATCAGACATTTTAAAATGATCTGTTGAAATTGATAAAATAACCCTTGACTTTTCCCCATTATTATTTAAACCACAACTAGTTCTAGGATGAAAAATTGTGCTGCGATATGTGTATTATTATATTACATGTATCAATACTTTATTAAACCGAGCACACCAAACATTTGGAAATATTTTTATGAAACTTTGGGCAAAAAAAGTTTGAAAATTAGAACAAGTACAATTTACTTGTTTTTTGACCAAGGAAATTCATTATGTGCTCGTAAACAGTCTAGAAGGCACAATTCTTGATGGATTTTGACGAAACTAGACACGAGTGTTTGTTTTCGACCAAGGATAAACCCTATTGAAAATCAGAAGAATCGAAAAATATTTAGTATGAGTTATTGCCCTTGTTCTTGAAAACACTTTCAAATTTATCTCTTAAACACTAAAAGGCATGATTCTTGCTGAATTTTGACAAAACTTGTTTTATTATTCAGTCCCGCGCTGAGGATGGAATATTTGCCTTCTAGAGGTTTCACGTGCTAGAAATTGAACACGTTTTCAAGAACAAGGGCAATAACTCATACTCAATATTATTCAGTATTGCCCTAAAGAGTTCAAAAGAAGTGTATGACTGAAGGTTGAATATTTCATACTGGTGATTGTTACTGTACTACTAAATATTTGTATTCAAAATCAAAGCTGCCAATGGGCGTATATTACCTTGCCTGGCAAGCTATCTTATGTTATTCATATAACTGTATATACTACTAGAATTATTCTATTTCTGATGCCCTTCACCCATTGAGAAAAGGTTTTGTGACGGACAAAAATAAATTGGACCACATGATTGTAGAGAGAATGGTTGGTCGGTTGATAGATGTCATTATAACATCCTATTCTAGTGATTTGTGTAGAACCTTCGTCAGTATGGAGGAACCTAGCTTTTAAAAGAGAAATATTATCTTATCAGAGAATGGGTACAGAGATCAAATCAACATCAATTCTAATCAGATTATATACCTGAAGTCTATATAAATATACACTGAGTTTATCTTGAACTAGAGTTCATTATATAGCATTATATCAATAATACATGTAGTAGCCACAGTATTTCTGGACCAAAAAATCAGCTCTTGTGTCCTTCTGAAAAAAGTGACATCGCAGATTTCTCATGCACACTGCAGGGTAATTACCTTCATTTGAAGAGATTTAGACAGTCCACTTTATTTAGTTGTGCTGAATGAAAATTTTAAAGTAATCTCTAGACTTTTTTTTCTAATGCATATAAGCATTATGAAGATAAAATTTTATTTGAATATTTTTGGTTGATCATTAGCAGAGCAGAGAAAATTTCCCTGTGTTAATCATAAGAACAAATTTCTTGTTTAACCAAATGAATTATATTTGACATGTTGGTTAAGACACAGAATTTTGATTGATACAATAGTTCTGTATTTTTGGTTTATTGAATAAAAAGTGTTATGCAAATGAAGTTAACAAGATAGAACTTGATATATTGATGTTATCATTCCTACCAGGTACAGTTATTATTATCATCTCTAGGATACTTGACTGATAATAACAGTTTATTTATTACCTAACTTAATCTAATAAACTTACAAACAGTCTCATCAATTTGCCGTCAGAGCCCCAATTTTAAAAAGAACTTTCTCTATTTAAAAAGACGAAGCAACAGAACATAATAATATGTGTACATTAAGAGCTGATAAGAATGGGAAAGTTTTTCTGTGAAAGAGAATGAATGTTTATTCAATACAAAGTTATATTATAACTCCAGACTCACATAATCATTCTAAGATATTTTGAAAAGTAATTGGAAATTGCTCATACTGCTCAACATTTCATACAGAACCTCTATTGTTTATTAAAGTAATAACTAAGATGTATTTCCATTGCAGCCATGAAAGTTTTATTACTTTCTGCTTTCACAATTTAAATTTTAGATTTAAAGATTTTATCTATTCTGTCTACAGAAATAATATCTAGTGACATTAATCATCATAATGAAGAGATGTTCTGTTTGGTAAGAAATATTTTGTAAAATTCCGAGAAATAGAAAAGAGTTATTTTGTTCAATTTTGAGGAATGTGTTATCTCTTCTAAATGAAATTTTACAGGGTCATGGCATAGTGCAGCATGTAAGCAGTAAAGAAATATGAGTTGTTTTTATACGCCCACATAGAAATGTGGACGTATATAGCTGACGCCCCTGTCCGTCGGGCAGTCCGTTCACATTTCTTGTAGGCGCGATAGAGGCTACAGTTTTTATCTGATCTTGATGAAACTTGGTATGCATGTATATATTGATGAAATCTCAATTAAAATGCTTAATTAAATGCCTTAAGTTTTGTGTGTTTATTAGGGTGAATACTGGCCAGTATTTATCTTTAATAGATATAGAATATATATAATATAGATCTAACTTACACTAGAAATCTTATCATATCATACCAGATTCCTCTACAGATTTAAATATTTTTATTGAAATTATATCTCTTACTAAAGGTTATTTGTAGCAATAATTTCTAGTGCTTAATCAACACAACACTTACCTAGATTATTCTCAAATTTTATCATCAAAAGTTTCTTTTTACTTTATGAATAATAAAATCACTGGGAGTTCAAAAAGTATATTTATATCAATTACTGATATTGATAGTATTCAGAGTAAATTCTTACTAAGTAGATTACCACAGATACTGTTCAAGGAGACAATGTAGATTTTTTGAAGTTTATGTTTGAAGATAATCCTTCAAGTACTCACTATGTAAATTCTATCTAAGAAATACTAGATATTGCTCAATGCTGATTTCTATGTACCTAAAATTGTTGAGCTTTTTTTAACATTCTTTAACATTCTTTAAATCTAGGGAAAAAACCCTTCAGATCAGGTTTATTCCAATACATTGTGAGTACCAGTTTTAGATTTTTGACTATTTGCATTATATATGTGTACTGGTATTTGATGATTTTATCAAGTTCTTCAGATTGTTCTAAACATCTTCACCTATCAAATTGTTCTTACTATAAAAAGTACTAAGTTGTGGTAATAGTCTATGATTGAATATTTAAGATAAGATCATGAAATAAAAACATGATTTATATTAAACAGCTGATTAAAAAGTTTAGAGCAATGACCCAAACTGACCCATGTAAACTTAATGAAGGTGACATTGCCTGCCACCCACTGAAATTTCACATGTCTTGTCCACACTTTCTGTTAATCTTTATTAATTATTATAAAAGAATAACCAATATATATAATAAAATTAAAATCATGTGTAGATAATCTATACACAAGTAATTTAATGATATTTCATTTTTTATGGAGACTTAGTAATGCAAAGGTACAGGTTTCGATTCTGGCACAGGATGTGACATCCCCTTAGATTTTTCAACCTTTTTTCCCCTTTCAGTTTTACAGTTTAAAGGGATCTGTCATGGATAAACAATGTGTGCATGTTCATGGTTTAATGATAGTTAGAAATAAAAAAATGAGTTGGTTAAAGCTGTGAATAGATGAGGTGTAGTGTACTGTGTGATTTAATCCATACCAGCTAAAATAGATGAAGTAAACACATGAGGTACAGGTCCAGCCACAGTGCAGACATGATTCGTTTCTTCTATTTTCTACTGTATTGATAATCCCTCACAGTACACTGCACCGAAAAACACTGTATTTCGTCAATTTGAACCTCTATGCCTACAATTTTATTATGTTCATTGAAAATACAATGCATCAATTATGCAATTATGAGGAATTCCATTAGAATTCATAAATAAAAAAAAGAAGAAAAATTTGAAAATTTCTCAGAAATTCTAAATATAAAAGTTTTATCAGTTTATTGTTTATTTTATTAATCAGGAGTAGTGATGAGATTTAGGTAGATGATAATAATTATATACCTATATAGATAATATCTAGTCAAGTATTCACATATCAAACTGATGCAGAATCTATTGACAGTCCAAAGTTTACTTTGTTTCATTTGACATCATGGAGAACATGAGAGTTCCTGTAACTTTTTCCAGGTTTCATGTTAGTCCTGCAGGTGAAGTTACATTTGAAGAAATAGGTAATTTATCTTGTTTTGTTTGATAGGACTACTTTAGAATTATTGCTTCAATTTATGTTTTTTCATATCTCAATATCTCATGGATGTAAGATTGTATCAATTCAAGAAAAGTTGTTAAAAAACACAATACAGAGTACATCAGTCAAATCTAAATTGCTTTCTTAATACAGGAAAGATTGAAATAAGATTTCAGATGGTTCAGATTATTTCCATTTTTGCATTGTTGTTTTCAGGGACAAATTTGGTAAAGTGACTATATCTTGCAAACCTTGCTGATGTATCTCTCTGTAGTTTCTGGACATATCATTGACATACTGTGTATTTTAAATCTCTCAAATACCAAGTGATACTGAAATATCTATGATGCCCAGGCGAGCATAAACATATGGCATTGTAACGCTTTTAATTTTGAAGCTATTTATGGAACTTTTTGATTTTTTTTGTACCTGTTTTTCAGTCTGTTAATAATCATAACTTGCTTCTAGGAGCTGGTCAGTTTGAGATGATATTACTAATATCAGATATTCAGATTACTTGTAATATAATCAGACAATTTTAAGATTGTTTTCACCTTGTCTATAAAATATGTCAAGATTATCTTTAGATCTTGGTTACATCTTGTCTTAATCTTATTGATATACTACTGGACATCTACTTCAACTTTAATAGTTTATATTAATATTGATACCCTTGTACTAGTCACCTTCTTACATCTTATTAATCAGTTGACTTCTTGTTCAGAACAGGACCAAAGAGGGTCCATACTTCCCACAGATCATCCTCTTTTAGCGAAGATTTGTTATGAGAAATGTTGTCACAAGAAATTATAACCAAAAGTTTAATGGGTAATCAAGCACACACTGTTGAGATTTCTCATAAAAATTTCAAACTAATTGGAACAAAATTAAATATCTGAGTTACTGGTTATGTGAAAATTCTCGCAATGTACATGAAATGATATGTTGAATATCTAATAGTTTTGTCCAAGGTCTAATCATTGTCTGTCTGATATTGTCACTAAATACTTTAACCCCCTGTCAGGTAAGAGGGACTGACATGGAAAAAGCATCTAGTCCTTAGGATGGGACAATAAACCGAGGCCTATGTGCTACAGGCTGTACAGATCCCTAAACATTTGGAAATCAAAAAAGAGAAGGCTAATTTCCCTCATCGCACCCTGCATGGCGTTGCATGTCTTCATTAGCCCACGTAGTTCAGAAAAATACGATGTAAAAATCATTTCATTCACTCATTCATTCACTAAATACTTTATGTGTGGATCAAACACTGGACATGAGTGGACTTTCGAATACCACATTTACTGAAAATGTTAATGTGATAAAATATATAAATGCCTAATAACTTCCTTGAGTGGCATTTAGTAATTGATGATATTAACACGAACACAATTATATGGATAACAATTACTTTAATAAATAACTTGCGACGTTTCGACGATGATTCTTTCGTCTTTATCAAGCAATGATGCAAAATAACAAGGCATTCAGGATATATAGTGTGGGGCAACAATAACAAGGATTAAAACAATAGGAATACATTAATCAATTATGTAGGGGTAATCACAAGGGTGTGTGATTAGAGAAACCATTAAAGGGATGTAGTACAAATCTGTAACTATTGGAAAACCTTAGATAATATCACCTAAATGGTGTACCTTTCTTTTCAAAGAATAAGAGGGAACTACACTAATACTTGCTTGTTAGTATATTTTATTTAACATTTTTCAGCTAAATATAAATATACCAGGATTTTTCAAGTTTTGTCCAGTTTTTTTAAGCCTGATTAGTTATCTTTGCATATTACTAAGAAGCCTTCTCAGTGATCAAGTGAAATGATGATAACATTGAAGTTTTGATCTGACTAATTATTGTTAAAACCCTGTTAAATATCACTGGATATATTAGAAACCCTTTCCTTAATTTATCATCAGGATTCAGCTTTAATCTGTGTTTATTTAACACTTGTAAATGTTGTGAAGGTTATCTCTATTACACTGTATGAAACAATAGCAAGCCTTATCTTGTAGAGTTTGATAATCTAGTGAATGAGGGGTGAGAGATGATAGGGAAGGGGGTGTTTAAATCTGTAACCAGATGTAGAGTCAATATATTCCTTAATACTACTTCAACTTATCTTCCTATCAAATTCTTCTTTAAACAAACAATGTACTAATCACTTGTATATAAAACACCATAATATTAAACAGTAGTCAGAATTGGGATTTCAGTGGAACTGTCAACAGTGGTCAACAAGTTTGAGAAATTTAAATTTGAACTTAACTAAGTTGTGTTATGTCTGCAAGAGTGTGAGTTTGAAATAAGAAGACTAGTTAATCAAGAAGATGTTGATACCAACATTAGAAGCGTTAAATGATACCTGGAGTTATTATCAATATCCCGATATTAATACTGAATACCAATATACACAATGTCAATATGAATGTAAGATACATTTTTTATGAATATTTATTATTAAGAATTCTTGAAATGCTTTGACAACAAAACAGTTGATAAATTTTTTCTTTCAATAAGAGCTGGGGAATCTCATAGATGATAATTTTTATGGAGCAAAAGAAAAATGTCTTATTAATATCATACCTCTATCGAACCTGCACAAATAGGAAACATGTAAGAAATTAATGAAACAGATGACATTCATATAGTGTAATATAACATTGTCAAAATAATTGCCTAAATAATAAGTTGTTTACAGATGAGAGAAAAATATTAAAGTATAAAAATGTTAGTTATATTTGTATTTATCAAATATATTCAAATTTTCTAAACAAAAAAATCACAGGTGGCCATTTTGAAGCAATAAACATTCAATACCGATCAGTTCACCCAAATCACAACAAGGGAATTACAGAGCTAACATAAGGAATGTAACCTTAGTTAAGGTGAATTATGTATTAAAGTTATCAATGTTAAAGAGTAGAAGTTGTGAATATTATGATCATATCTTGTTTTATCTTAGTTAAGAAGTTTTGGTCAATAATCTTTAATCTTAATCCTCTCTGATTATCTTTATTTTATGATATATCTGGTACACATACTGTGCTGTACGTACTTCAACTTAAAGTACGGAATAAACTCAACAGAAGTTGGTGTGGGAATTAGCTCTAGGAGAACTTTGAAATCATTTCTTCTCATGATACTTTGTTAAATAAAGGGTGATAGTATACTATACATTTGAAACAACAATTTATAATTAATTTTTCAAGAATTTGTGGGATGTATATAGCCATTTTTGTTTGACTGTCAGTATCAGCTCACAGATATCATAATGAAAAATATTGTAATATTTAAAATGTTTTTTTTTCTATACTTTCAGATTCACCTGATCTAGGCGTACCATGTTTAACAACTGTACAGAATTTATCATCAACAAGTCCTACAAACTCTGCCCAAGGTGTCAGTCAGTACTGTGCTATATGTGGTGATAGAGCTACAGGAAAACATTATGGTGCCTCAAGCTGTGATGGGTGTAAAGGATTCTTCAGAAGATCAGTTCGAAAGAGTCATGTATATACTTGTAGATTTAATAGAAACTGTATTGTAGATAAAGATAAGAGAAATCAATGTAGATATTGTAGATTAAGAAAATGTTTCCGTGCTGGCATGAAAAAAGAAGGTTTGTATATTTACACACAACTTTACAATCATAAAGCTCAAGAAATAACAAGATTTATAAATTTCGAAGTTGATGCTCCGTGTTGAGTAATGTAGTAAAAAAAAATGTATCATATCTAAATTTTTAAATAGCACTGAATGAAATCTCATATAAATTTTTTGTATTGTTTTAGCTGTACAGAATGAACGAGATCGAATAAGTGTTCGAAGACCAAGCTATGAAGATATGAGCCAGAGTGGTGCTCTAGCATGTAGTACCTTACTTAATGCTGAAATGCTTTCGAGACAACAGGTAAATATGTAAGGGATTTATATGGGAGGGAGATTTGACTGAGCATAGGTTTCAGGCCTATGCTTGATGTATATTTCTGTCATAAGCATATGGCTACTACTATAATTAAGGAAATTTCTATTGGTTATTGGATATTGTTATTTATGATTGAATATGCTAAATAATTGATTGTTAAAACTGTTATAATCTAAGATAGAATTTAATTAAACTTATGATATATTTGCAGATGGCAGGTATAGCTTTTCGAGATATATCCCAAAGAAAGATAGCCCTTGCTAATGATGTTTGTGAATCTATGAAACAACAACTATTGATATTGGTAGAATGGGCTAAATATATACCATGTTTCTGTGAATTACCTTTAGATGATCAGGTATAGTATTTGATTCTAGCTATATCTTTAAAAACATAAGTCTAGAAAATGGCATTAAATATTCGAACAATCAGTCTCTGTGAGAAATTATATCTAAAAATCCAACAATTTACTATACTTAATATTATGTACACTCAAAGAACAATTTGAAAAAATTGCAAATAGTAAATTATTGTTTTTAGCTATTTACATAAGTAAAAATCTTCTCAAATTTAATTATGGTTTGAATTCTTATTTTCAGGTAGCCTTATTACGAGCCCATGCCGGTGAACATCTTGTACTAGGTGTAGCTAAAAGATCTTTAGAAGTAAATAATGATGTTTTACTATTAGGTAATGATGCTGTAATACCAAGAACAGCTAGTGATGGTATTGGTATTATAGCTGGTCGAGTCCTAGATGAATTAGTTCAACCGTTAAGAGAAATACAAATTGATGATACAGAATTCGCCTGTATTAAAGCTATTGTTTTCTTTGATCCATGTAAGTAAATTTTATCTACTGATAGAAAATGATTATCTGTGAAATATAGGTTTATTGTCAAAAGTGATATATTCTGATTGCAATGAGATATTCTGATCACAATGAGATATTCTGATCACAGTGAGATATTCTGATCACAGTGAGATATTCTGATCACAGTGAGATATTCTGATCACATTGAGATATTCTGATCTCAATGATATATTCTGATCACAATGAGATATTCTGATCACAATGAGATATTCTGATCACAGTGAGATATTCTGATCACAATGTAATTTTATTTTGTTTTATATATCTGTAGATGCTAGAGGATTGAATGATAAACAGAGAATAAAGATGTTTAGATATCAAGTACATGTTAATTTAGAGGACTATATCAATGATAGACAATATGATTCACGTGGACGCTTTGGTGAAATATTGTTACTCTTACCAGCTTTACAAAGTATAGCATTTGAAATGATTGAACAAATACAGTATGCTAAAATATTTGGTACAGCTAAGATAGATAATTTACTACAAGAAATGTTATTAGGTGGTAAGTATTGTTAATTATAATTTCTGAAGTTATGATGCAAACTGATTGATAATGAAAGTGGAGTGAAAAGCACCTTATGTGAAGTGCATTTGAATTGCTCAATGAATCTCCAGTGCTTTTCTTTCTGAATTTTCTTAGAACATGTAGTAAACCATGTGTATATATATTTATAGGAGCCAATAATGGTGGAGATAATAATGCCAATATCCAGTCCCAAGATGCCATATCTAATCCTATGTTATCAACTAGTGCCTTCCCTGATGCCTTTTCACCACAAGCAGACTTATTACAAGGTCCAGAAACATTACATTTAAATGCTAGTTCCAGTCCAATAGGAGCTAGCTCTTCTGTTGATCCCCATATACACTCTGGAATGGTTCAAGCTCACACCAATACACCACCACCTGGGATACTGAATGAACCAATAGCTCTCAATATGACAGATACACATCACATTCCAAATGGTCACCATGGAGCTTCATCATCTTCTCCTCCCAGACTAACATCTTTAACACCAGAGTCTTACAAACATAATCAATGTACTCCTTCACAAATACAACAATTTAAACAGGAAGTTTCCTCTTAAACCTATTTTAAACTGACAGGAAATTGGTATAAAATATATAAACATCTGAGATCACATGTTGCAGAACTGAGTGGTCATCAAATAATTGTTAAAATAAATTATACAAAAATCACAGATACTGTTAGTTGACTCTCTTTTGTTAGTTGTAAATGTTTAAGTTGTTCAAATATCATGTGATATCAGATTCTTTCTGTCCAAGTCTGTCCATCTGTTTATTTGCATTTAATTAACAACAAGAATCTTTGCCAGCAATATTTTGTTATTGAAGGGAATGTATGCCACACAGTGTGTGGTTTTATGGCTTGCTTTGTTGAACTTTTGTTGCTACTCTTCATAGTAAAATGCTAAAATTAAAAATAGCTAGAATCATAATATTATCCAATGAGGAGAAATACTGTCAAATTTAGAATATAAAAGTATTATAAATTTAGTGGTAGATTTGGCGTAAAACGCTCTCCACAATCTATATGTATATATGCCAAAGATTGTTGAACTTGATACAGTTTTATGATGTAAATAGAAGTTTTATACTAGAAATTATATTGTTATATGTGATTTTAGTTGGCATTATTCTTTTATCTGTCTTTATATATTGTCTATATTGCAAGGTGAAGAAAACATACAATATTCTGTACATTATCCTATAATTTATATTTAAAAAGAAATTTGTTATTAGTGCTAAAACTCTGATTTATAAGGTAGGTTCCCATGTGTACACTTTTCATCAATGAGCCATGTATATCTCGGACACTCTTGTAACCAGATGAGAATTTGTTTTATGGCTGTATTGTTTTTCAAAGTAAATTCACTGTAATTACCAAATTCAACTGTGTTCATTCTGTATATTTCTACAGAATCTGATAAAAACGCAAATCCTAATTTCTTTTTCTATTGGTTAATATCTTTGCCAATGGAGTCGGCCAGAGATGTGAGAAAAATTATCTGGATCTGCATTGTAATCAATTGTTTTAATTGTTGCAGTTCATTCTTATTATTATTTTATATGAATATACTGGCTTATAGTTTATTTTAAACTTATTTCTGCTCAAATTGTACAATATATCTCCAGAAATTATTACTTATATTAAATTGTTATTGTTTGTGCAATTTTTAACTCTTCAATAGAATTAATCTTTAATTTCTCTTAATGAAAGAGGATGATTTAACTTTAATACTACTTATCAAACTTTTTCAAGAGAGACTGTGATCTTTAAGACTCTTCAAAAAGGTTAGTTGTTTGTTGAAATTAATATTTTACTAAGTTCAAGTGAGTGAAATGCAGTACATGTACAATTTTATTGATTGTTAGATTTTATCTCATAATTACTTCATCAGTTAACATTAATCCAGTTTTAAGGTGAAATTGAGTTATTTTGAATAGAATAACATGTATATTAATGAGTAGTATGTATATGAAATATTTTATGAAATATGATATAATACATGTATAACTGTGCTGCACCTGGTTTGAGTATAGTGAGCACTCTAAACTTCAATAATTCAATAATAAATTACAGATAATTAGACACAAGTTTTCCTGTTTTATTCTGGGAATCTATCTCATTGAATCCCATTTTTCTGTGATTCTGTGACATATTACTATTGTGGTGGTCATGTATGTAGCGAAACGAATAGTACATGTATATCGAACAAGTAGATGGTCTCTTGAAATGAAATGAAAATGAAAATGAAATGAATGGAGTTTTACGTCCTACTCTTCTGCACCTTAGATGGACTCACTCCACTAAAACATTTTATGCAAATGATTGTATAGGAATGTAGTCCAGGCTATTTTTAGAAATCTTCTTTCTCTCTCCCTTTTGGGGTTTTTGCAGTCCAGGCTATTTTTAGAAATCTTCTTTCTCTCTCCCTTTTGGGGTTTTTGCCTGCCTATTTTTGGGTAAAATTTGGTCTAGATTTGGAATTTGATGTCTGAAATTGCATTATCTTTCAGATTTGGTGAGATGATGAGAGACTTAAAGGCGGAAGGCTAATTCTAAAAATAGTCGTTTTGTGAAGTGCCAAACTCTAGCGGATGAGTATAACCGGTAGTAGTCTACTTTCAATTTTAGTAGCTCAAAATTTTCATGGTCATCATATAATGAATTTTTTAGGAGACATTGAGAATTGGTCAGGCTTTCATTCGACATATTGGAAAGCTTTCAACGAGATTTCTGGAAAAAGTTATAGAAGGTTGAATTTCGTGTTTTAACATGGAAAGAGATGGCAAATGAATTAGTGGAGTGAGTCCAGATGGTCTCTTGAAGGAGTGACTAATATAATTGAACGTGGTTATCTACCCTTAATAGTCTTAGAAATCCAGGATCTAACAGAGAAAAACACTGACTTTAAACCTATTTTCATCAAGTTTCAATTGCAAATGAATTGCTATAGTTCATGTGAAAATGGATTAGGTCTTGGTCCTGTCTTTTCTATTCTAAGATTAATTAAGAAAGGAAAATCATTTCACAAAGAGGATATTTGCGTTACTTGCTGTTGTTTCATCAATCCTGTTCTACTCACAGTTGCTAATCATTTAGTGCAAAAAAGTTACTGGATGTGGAAAATACTGCGCATGTATTTAAATCTTCAATCTTTTATGTAAACATAGTTAATTCAACAGGTCTTTTGTGCAATAGAAATTTATATGGCATCAATTACTGTAGATTCTAATACAACGCTTCTGATTGTCAGAAAATGGCATATATATTTATAACACTTAGTGATCATAGAAACCGTCGTTACCTACAGAAAACCTGATCTCGCTAGTCAATACCCTTCGTCATTTAACGTTAACGGAAGTTTGAAGGTTATAAGATTCTCTAAGCAATGAATTTTGCTTTAAGTCTATTCCTGTTAATTAAAGAGTAATGATCTATGTGTACGGTGAAAAATGTCAGAAAGAGGAGAGAGGATAAGCCAAGGGCAGTTTTTAAGGCCTTTCTTGACGAAGTACAATCATTAAAATGCCCGGAATACACAGGTCTCTGACCATCGCATCAATTCCGATTCAAACTAATTCACTGTCTTCTTTTCTTGATAATGTTCACGGTCTAATTATATTCACACATAATTTCAACTATTTAAAGGAATACTACCTCTAAAATTTAGTCTCAATAATCAACAAGAATAAAATCTCTATATAAGACGATATATCGATATATAATCAAAAGCATGTTTAAAAACTACTAAGTTAAAAAAGTTGGATTCTTAAAGAGACTTGGGTCGCTTAATTTCTGTGTGCTTCGTATCGCGTTCTCTCCTTTGAGTTGTTAAAGGGACAGATGCACCATTTTCGGGGGATTGATTTTAGTCTTGAGTATATGTAAATAGTCTTCAGAATACTAGAAATATACGAAAATTGTATTACTGCTTAAGAAATACATGTACTTCAAACTAGGAATTTTACTTAAAATGATGAGTAAAACGCGGATAATTCTGGACAGACATGGATTTGAGGCTCAAATTTCGACGATGAACTGTGAACGCTATCACTATTAGCTTAGTTAAAAAAAATTCCCGTTTCTGAGTCTAAGGTGTGATTGTAAAAAATGGCCCTTTAAGTCGGGTGTCTAACTGACTTAATACCACTGACCATTAATACAAAATGAGAAGAAAACGCTGAGAATTACTGGTAACATATTTAGAATAAGGTTCTGCGAGCAACTGGTAACACATTTGAAATAAATCTCTCGGAGTTACTGGTTACACATTAGGAATAAGGCTCGGAAAGTTACTGGTAACACATTGGGAATAAAGCTTTAGGAACCCTAAGTTACAATTTGAAAACTCCGAGAGTTTCTGGTTGAACATTAGTAATAAGGCTCTGAGAGTTTCGGGTAAATCATTTGAAATAAAAGTCCGAGAGTTTCGGGTAAAACATTTGAAATAAAGGTCTGAGAGGTAAGAGCTAAGAGGGATACTGTATTCGGAGCAATGGCTGAATTTTAAATTGTGTAGGTGTTGATGATTTAAGACAATGCCGGAAAGAAAGCCCCGGGGGAAAAACACAAATATGGTTGAACAACAGTAGTTATAAATTCTATTAAAACACCTTCCTGTAGTTATTTATTATTATAAAGAACACAATAGACTACAGGCAGTTGATATTTCTAGAGTTCTGATGATTAACATGAATATCAAAAGTCTTATTGGTTGTTGTTCTCTTTTCCTTTATAGAAAAAATTAAATGCCAAGATGTTTTCTGTTTATATTGAAGTAGAGAATAAAAAATATTCTGTTTATACTGTGACCAAATTCTATCATTCAATTCTTATTTCAAATCGAAATTAATATTAACCAATCGTTACCTTACCATGGTATACTAAAAGATAGCTTGCCAGCAAAGTATATATACTTCTACACAGCCACTGTATTTTTAGACTCTATCAAGAGCAAAATGAGCCTTAATGATTAATCTGCCAAGCTTCTATTCAATACTCAGAAAGGAAATCAACTCCTTACTCATGACCTTACCTATTCCAATGATCCCTATGACTCTATTGAACAATTTGTGTATGTTTTAATTCAAGGGCAATAACTCAAAAACTTTTAATCAAATGCGAACTTTTCCAATATGTCAAATATATATATGATCACACAAATTTTTATGTGTTTTTTGATGCGTTTGACTTAGTCAAGGGCAACAAAAAAAATCCTCAAATTCTTATCAATTCCAATGCTCACACCAAGTTTCATCAAAATCCAATGAAAATTGTGGTTTCTATTGTGCACACAAATATATTTTTAAGCGATTTTACTAAGTCAAGGGCAATAACTCAAAATCAGTTTATCGAAAAGTCGTCAAATTCGAACTTGACCGAGATCTTATCAATTCAAATGCTCACACCAAGTTTCATAAAAATCCATTGAAAATTGCGGTTTCTAGAGTGCCCACAAACAAATTTTTAAGCGATTTTACTAAGTCAAGGGCCATAACTCAAAATCTGTTCATCCAAAAATTCAAACTTGAACGAGGTCTAATGCTCACACCAAGTTTCATCAAAGTCAGATGAAAACTGTAGTCTCTATTGTACCCACAACAAATGGTGACGGACGGGGCGACGGCAATATACAACCACATTTTCATGTATAAAAAGGCAGAATAAATATGAGTCAGCTGTACTGAACGATTAAAAACAGATCAAGTCAACCTTGTCAATTTAGTTCAGATAGTAGAAACCTGGATTATTTACTGGGTGAATTATCATCAATAATTAGCCACTTAGCCATATAAACATTGTCAGATTCCTCAACAGTTTTTAACTCCAATAATAGAATCTTTATCCACTAATGATTGTGATCTCTCATACAAACAAATCTTCAACATATTCTCTGAATACTGAGTTACAGCATCTATACGGATACCAGTTCTAAATGCAGCTTAGCATTTAGAAAATTACATACTACTCAAGTAATCAGCTTCTATATAGGTTTGACCTTTTTAGATATTTGAGACAGAAATCATATAACAGCAAAAGGTTTTACAGTTTAGGTTTACGTCGCAGATAACATTAAATTATAACCGAGAATACTATGACATATATTTTCCCACAATTATAATTACAATGAACTAATCAATACGATACTCTGCACTTAAAATCCTTGAAACACCGTTCCATTTCAAATTTACTGTTAATTTCATTGACATTTATTTTCAAAGTTTTCACAGAATGAAATGATTGTGCCTGATTGCATTTCATTTTCTCTCAAAAACTTTTAATATTGGCTGGTTACATTTCAACAAAGACACAATTTTCGAAATATTTCCACCTAATGAACATCTTAATTATAAAGATTTTAACAGTTATTTTCTCTTTGTATGTCGATGTAGAGAATTATTCAACTTCACGAGGACAATTTTCAAGTACCAATGCAATTTCAATAGAAAGTTTTAGAATTATTAAACTGCAATAATTCAATCTATTTATACCAATGAAGCGAATTAATCATTTCGAAACCTAACTCTATTGAACGAGGGAAGTCTAAATGCACAATAGTAAAGGAGATTTGTATGAGCTTTTAAAAACTGTAGCTGAACCACTTCCAACACAGTATGTGATAATATAACATTGTGAACTACCCTGATCCATGAAATAATCATTTGAAATTTTCAACAATGTCTTGATGGAATTAACTCAAATTTTAGACGGAACGAAAATGTCAATAGCTTCATGTGTCAGAGACGGTATTCAAAGTAGGACAAAGTTTTCCAATAAATAGAACATTTTTAAATTGCACTTGAAGATTTCCATTGAATAAGATGTCTGGAATCTTAACCAAATCAACGTATTAGCTTTCCAGACGTTATCAACAGGTTCGGTTTGGGGAAGGAAGCGGAGAGGTGTCAGAGAGAAATTGCAGTCAACAAAATTTCGAGTTGACCTTGAAGTTATGCGCACAAGGCATAAAAATGACAGAAACCTAGATGCAGTTAAACCTCAAAAGTTGAAAAAATTCCAACTCCAAAGCCCCAAGAACAATATTGGCGCGAGAGGTTCTGAATCTTGAAAGACTTGCTGTCTGATACCAATATGATGTCTTTCTCTGTGATCCACAGGCGACTATCCATTAAAATCATCTGAAGGCGACTGTGGTTACAGTAAGAGAAACCACGGGAGAGTTTGAAAATCGATTATACTAAAAATCATAATGAATCTCCGTGTCAGGTTATTCAAAGGGTTTGATTAAACAATGAAGGAATTTCATAACAGTCGGAACTAGATCCATTTGGTACTTTCTGAAGTTTCTGTTAGGCTAAATCTAATGGAAAGAATATAAGAAAGTAAATAAAAAAGAAATAATATATTGAAAAATCTTTATATTTCTTAAAAGCTCCTCCTCTTACTAAAGTAAAATAGATTTCCAATTGAATATTTTTTTCACCCTATTAATGAAAATTCACAACTAATTTGGATTTTCTTTTTGTGCATAGACATTAGATCAAACCTGATAACAAACAAGGAATGTATAGATATTTTCACTCTCCAATTTTAAAAGACATTTACAACTCCAAGTAGTTTTTGATGTTTTCCAAATTCCCTTAACCTGCAATTTGGAAATAAACCTAAAAAACCCAAAAAACATTCTTGCAAGGACATTGACATAGTGTTCTTCTAAGCAGCAAAGTTCAACAATAAAGGACCAGTGTTATTGTTTAAAGGGACAGATGCCCCATAGTGGGGCATTGATTTGAGCCTTCATAATTACTAGAAATGTACAAAAATCGCACAATTCCTTCAAAAATATCTCAAACTAGGAATTTCTTTTTCTAAAGATGTCTTTCTAACTTTCAAAAACAGTTTTTTCTGGACACACATGGATTTGAAGGCTCTAATTTTGACATTGAGCTGTGATCACTATTACTGATTGGCTGAGCTAAAAAAAATTACTGTTTCTGAGACTAAGGTACAATTAGCTAAAAAAAAAATGGCGCACCTGTCCCTTTGACAAAAAAAAGAATACATTGGAAAAAAACTAAAATAATATCTATAATTAAATTCATTATCCAATTAACGGAACAGACATCATCTTAAACTGAATTGTAGTCCTTCCATATCATTTGAGGTCTATTGGCATATTGAAATATTGTCTTTTGCAACTGAATCTGAAATATTGTCAATCAATTGGCATCTGAAATATTGTCAATTGGCATCTGAAATATTGTCATTGGCATCTGAAATAGTGTCTGTACGCAGTGGAAAAGCTTTCTATTCAGTAAGAAAACCTTTTCACAATTCTAACTCTCAGACATATCAATCAAATCTAACCACATATAAACTTAAAATACAAAATGTACATGAACAAAACTTATTGTGTAATTTAGATCAATCTAAAATCTCATTGATATGGCTGTGACCCCTCATATGCAACTTGCAAATATTGTAAACCATTTGCTATTGGTATTAAAACCAATTTTGACATCTTATAAAAGTTAATATAATATAGCAATAAAATCAATAATACAATCAAAAATCCAAGATGATCAAAACAATTTCCCGACAAAACTGTGAACATATTGCACTATAATGTCTAACATTGGGACATAGAATAATTCATCTTATTTACATACATATCAATCAGATAAGAAACTTCTGTTAATACCATGAACATAAATAAATAAATCAAACATAACCACTATAATAGATTTCATTATTTTTACATTCACACATTCTTCAAGTCACATACCACACATAAAATAAATACTGGCTTTAACCACCATCAGATCATAATAAATAAACCCTGAATCATTTATGCCAAGAAGTGTTTAAACCTTCACCTGGGACAATAACTGAGGTAGGATATATATGATGGGTTAAATAATTCTTGATAAATGTCACAAATTGATAGCTTATGTTCAATGCTCAATATCAAATCAATATATTTCTAATTACACAGCCATTTTTAAGCAGCAGACATCCACTAAGAAGCAGACGTACATTTCATATTAGAATAATGATATAACAGTACTAGTTGTTTCTTCTGGACTATTAGCTAGTTCATCACCTTCTCTTAAACCTTCACTATGTGGTGTTTTACCAATTAATGTTAACATTGCTTTAGCACCAGGGTCTTTATCTAATATACTCCTTCTAGATTTAATCTCCTTCAAAAAAAAAAACAAAAAAAACTTCAACTAAAAGCATATTATTTGACCATGACTTCATAGCATAATTAAAAGTTATCTTGTTGAAAATAAAGAGAAATTAATTTCAGGTAATAAAAAGATCATTATCTTTGTAAAATATGAGTAATTATTGAATATAAATTGTATTTTGTTTTTTATTTACTACAGGTGTGACAATCTATACATCATTGTTTTAAATAATCATCATTTTATTTTTTTATCTCACAATAAATGAAATAACTTAATAGTATTTTATAAAAGCAATAATACTGTATATTTTTGTAAAAGTTGTAGCTTATAATAGGATTATATAAGTACTGTATTTAATATTACAATATATCGAAAAATTCTCCAATATAATTCTATTCATATAAGAGTATTAAGGTGTTAATTTTATTTTTTAAACTTCTTATATCAGCAAATCTGAACACTTGGGAATAAGAAAGTTTTCTCTACTATATTTCTCAGTAGGGCAATATGAACCAATATAAAATGATAATTGGCAATATTCTGAATGAACATAAACAGCTAAAAAGAATTTATTGCAACTATTCTGGCTGCCTGATAATGATACCATAGAAACCACATTTATATAGAACTATTACAGGCATAACTGTGATCTTGTGATTTTAAGGCCAATACACGAAAATCAACATGCAACTGAATTGAGACCATATCATTTCCAGTTGGTGATTTGACCATTTCTTAAAGGAAATGAATATGCTTCAATTTTAAGGAAAAAAAGAAAACCAACCTCTTCAGTCATTCCTTCAAAATCTTCATCATCAATATTAGGTTCAGGTCCCACACCCCATACTTCTATAGTATCTACTTCAAATTCTGCTGCTTTAGATAGCTGTGGACTGCCATAAGTTGTACATCTTGGTCCTGCTTTACTATGACCATTAGAAAAACTCTGATCTATCCACAAACCGAAATATTCTAACTGACCTCCAAATCCCTGTTTTAAATATAACAGTAAAAGATGAGATTGACTAAAAACAAAAAATCTATTGTATATAGGAATTTTCCATACGATATACTAGACTTAATAGCTGTGATCTTTGCATGCAAAACATTTTGAAAATCAAGACCAATATCTAATATATATGTCTGACTTCTACCAACAATATTTAATTCTACAACCAGTTGGAACATAGTGCATAATTTTTAATACTCTCTTAATTTATCTGTATCATATACTCTTCAATTGTTCATAAAAAATACAAAAAAATAGAATCTGTACAAAAATTACTTGCTGCAGGTATAAGACCTACAATGTTTAACAAATGTATATATTGTCTTACCAGTCCATTAGGTAAAGTATGTACATGTTGATTAAAATATTGAAAATGATTATTATAACCAGTTGGTGTATATGTTGATAAGAATGGTTTTAATTGAAATAAAAAACATTTACCATCTCCTACAATTACAGAACAATATATAATATGATGGGCATTTTATGTTTAAATACAAATACTGATTATGATTTTTATTAAAATCATACAAAGGTAATTTTGATATGTTGAAAATTGAGACGTTACAAAGTAAATTTTTGTGAAATAAAATATTGTCTCAATTTTCTGCACAAATAGAAATTTTTATTGCTGTATTCACACTTGATCAAACTAGTCCACAGACAATGAATTGAGACTTGAAGTTCTATAATCTTGACTTGAGATAATCAACTGTAAGATAGAAGCAATCTGACAATAAAACTATTAAAATACCAGACAAGACTGCTTACCATAAAAATTAGAATTTTTCTTCCAATTTTCACTGGCAAAACCCCCAAATACATGACCATTTTTATCTTTTACCATAACAACAGTTGGACCTTGTGAGAGAATACGACCTACTAACTGGACAAAACTATCCCCATATAAATAATTACTGAATAATAATCTCCATTCTCTTTGTAAATCTGCTGGTAAATTTGAGTTGAGATAGATCAATGTAGGATAATCTAATAGAGATTTGAGTTTAGTCCAGTTAATATTTTTAATCAGTGGTATTCTTGGTTTTACATTCCTTGATCTCATTTCTTCCTCCTAAAATTCAAATAAAGTAACAGATAAAAAGGGAATAAAATAAGATTATTTTCCAGGACAGGTTATTTTTTGTGATATATAGGAACTTTGTGTGAATTAAAATTTTCCAAATATACTTTGTGATGCAATAAATATAACAAAAAAAACATAAAGCACAGAATAAACCCACATGGCAACTATCATCTTGCAAGCGAATACACCCACAACCAGCTTGATAAAGAGCTAAATGTGAACTGTAAAACAAACTCTATATCGTAGCCTGTAGAGTGGACACGAGCCAAAATAGTGAAAAAACGCGTTATCAGAGTTTCATGCGATATCTCTCAAGAAAATCAGAGGATCATCACCAAATTGAATAGTGCACATTTTCATAATGATATTGACACACATACAAAAGATCAAAAGAATCAATAGAGAATTGTAGTCTGTAGAGTGAGCACAAGCCAAAAAAGTGAAGAAAAATAAACGAATGCGATATCAGAGTTTTAAACGACATCTCTAAAGAAAATCATCGGATCATCAACAAATTCAATAGTGCACATTTTCATAATGATATTGACACACATACAAAAGATCGAAAGAATTCATGGAGAATTGTAGCCTGTAGAGTGAGCACGAGATAAATGTGAATGGACGGACGGACGGACCGACCGATAATTCTGTGAATTAGTGTAAATTCTACAATGATCATCAAATCAAATATCACTATTCAATTGGCACTTTCAGGTATCTGATAGACATTGCCAATGAATATACAATTCAATTTAAAAATAATCCTACAAAAATTATAGTCTGACATTTTGTGAATAGACCAGCAATCCACTTTGAAATTAGTACATATAGAACCTAGTTAAACATATCAATTTCAAATGAAATGTGATAAAAATAGCAACCTTTTTTGTGTAAATATCCAATTAGAAATATTAAAACAGAACTTATAAAAACTGAGTTTCACGCTATGCGATCTTATTTAACAGTGAGAATTTTTTGTTATTGTAAATATCCAATTACATTAAAAAGCAAATAGAGAAAAAATAAATTGGATTTTGTGAAGTAATGCCTCTGAATAATGAAGGGCAAAGTTTACTCTTCAGTTGAAATGAAGTTGCCAGTTTTCCTGTAAAATATTAAAAAAACTTACAGAATAGATAGTAAAACAATGATTTAATACACGATCTATAACATGTAAAAACAAATAAGATTTTGATAACCATTGATCTATATCTTCTTCTGTATAACTAATAGTTGGTATAACAGGTACTGTCATTCCTCTATCTTTCTCTTTACCTGAAATATAATTGATATATTTTGGTCATCACATATCATGCATATTTTTAAAATCAGTAAAAAGTCATTTTACAGCCAAGCATGCAAGTATCTTATTTATGTACATTTCTGATTGGAATTTTATGTCAGATTAACTACATTCTATTGATCAAATGTAGTGAACTGTTAGATTCTATATGTCTGAAGGGTGACTAAAATTTGGCCATGGTAAATCTGGGAGGTGACAAATGTCTTCATACAATGATCATCAGTCCTTCTCACCAGACCAATAAAGTAATTAATATCACCAAAAAAAAAGTCTTGATAAACCACCTTACTGGACTTATTTGATAAATACTGTTATTAACTTACTTGTGTCACATCTTGTATTCGATCATCAGTCATTTCAAAGGTGATGTATTAGACTACATCAAAATAGTTACAGTCAGCCAAAAAATTAATTTCACATAAATATGATAAATTGATTTAAGATGGGATTTTAAAATCTGACAAATCTTACCCGTAAAAAATAAATCATCTAACATGTAGACAGCCAATCTATAAATAGATTCTTCAGTCGACTCTAGATTCCAGGACTTTACTTCTATACTTTGAGTTATTGTTTTTAAAAAAGATTTGATTACATCTTTCACAAACTAGAAATAAATTATCAATCAATTCATATCAAGTGAAAGAATGATATTAATTTCAGATTAAAAGTATGTGAAATTGAATTAAGTAATTGTTGGCTGATCTTAGAACCAACATAGCAATATGAATATTGAATTTATTATATCATTCTTGAGAGTAAAACATTTTATCATTAAAAGATTATTAATCTACAAAATTATCGTTAGTTATTTTAGTTTTTGTAAGTGTCCAGTGTAAACACACAGAACAATGATAGACTTTTTCAAACAGATCAATCTTGTAACAAGAGATAGTAAGTGCTAGGATGTCTATGCTCAATCCAGTCTGACAAACATAATAAAATATGCTAAAGTTTTGATCATCGTGACATCCTGATTCAAACCAATATTCAGATATGACGAGGTATTGATTTATCTCAATTATTTTTCTTGCTATTGTAGCATATCATTGAAGCAAATTATGCATAAAATACTAATACACATGGTTATTTATACTGTGTTATTTGATTGCATACACTTATTCAACTCCTTTTTTTGAGGAAATAAAAAATCAAAGCCTTTATTCATGCTCATTTCAATCTAAAACTTCAGCATGATTTGAATATTTGAATGCTAACAAAGATCTGTCCTATGATGTGAATAGAATAATCGTTTGACACAGATGATAGTCTCTTCTAAGTGATTCTCTAAATGGCACGTTTGTTTATAATGGCCATTAAACATTTGATGTAAATCATTAAAGTATAGACAATATTGCCTACAGTAAAATATCTTTTTTTGTCTTAGATTGGCTAAATGAGCTTAATAATCATACGGATAAATAGTAGACTAATAAGTAATAGTTATACATGGTGTTCGAGGTGTAGAGCTGATACAACCACTCTTTTTAGAGTGAGGATCCCAGGAAAAGCCGAGAAGATTGTATATAACTGACTAATACCACATACCTTTGAGAATCAAATAGGGATTAATAAATGTAAAAGAAAATAATTTGAAAGTTTGTGACCCATACAACTTGAATGAACAATTATCAATTGATATGTATTAACGCTCATTTCTCATAATCTGAAAGGCATGTGCTGATTTCTGTTGATGTTTTGATTGGCAACTAATAATGGGTGAACCAATGAGTTCAAAGGACATTTCATAAACAGATCTCAACACCATTTGAAACGAATCTGATCTTATTTTATCTCTTATCTATTTATCATAAACAGAAAATATTATTTTACCATGTGATATGGAAATCAGAAGATCGGACAAGTGTTTTTGCTTCTTGTTTCTCCACGAATATACACATTGGATTAATAGCATTTGGTGAACCAAGTAATGTGCTTTTTTTTTGCAAGGATTATCATGGGGATTATAGTGAATTTTGTGGAAAATATCTCGAGATGGAGGATTGAAGCAAACCAGAAGATTGAATTTAGGTAAGGTAATGGTATAATTGTCTAAAGAATCGCAATTTGGCAAAAAAATTTTTGTATGAATTGAAATAACAAGTACAAGGTATTGCTGGCCTTAAAAGTTTTTGGGTGTGAATCAATGAAAAAATTTTAATTTAGAAAGGTATTTTACAGATTTTTCAGTCTTAGAGAGAAGAAGTGTGTTTATTTCAAATGTAAAAATCCACAAACCTTAAATGTCTATCAAAAAAGATATTCAAATGCAAATGACATGCGATCGAAAATTTAAAATATCATTCTGACTCAAATCACATCATTCTAAGTTTTAAAATTGTTAATCTCAAAAAAGATAAACAAAGTTGTGGTAATAATACATTGTGTTTACAAGGCAATTTTTGTTTTTCAGAAAAAAGAACACTATGTTTAAAGACAGGCAATGAAAAACTTTTCCAAGATAAACATTAATAAAGATTATGAAGTAACTGTTGTTTTAATTGCATCCCACCAATTTTGGGGCAAACCTAGTTAAACAAAAGTGTAGGTGTATCAGAAAAGTGTAGGTGTATAGCAATAAGCAGAGGTGTATCAAAAAAAGGGAAGGTGTATTAAAAAAAAAAGCAGAGGTTTATAGCAATAAGCAGAGGTGTATCAAAAAAGGGAAGGTGTATAAAAAAGCAGAGGTGTGTATCATGAAAAGTGTAGGTGTATCGGATAATAACATACTCTATAGATCAAAGGATTGAGAAAAAGTATTTGTATACAACTTGCTGATAAGAATAACTCAGGATGGTAGGCTATAATTCATGACATAGAAATAATGTATTTCATTACTGTAAAAAGAAATATTATACCTGCACAATTTCTTCTCCAGTTGTACATTTTCTACCTTTTGAAGAAATAAAAACAATCAGTTGACTTTTCTCTGTCACATTCCCTCTCAAAGCTATAGACATGCATCTTAGAAACTGAGCATATGTTAACGTATGGTTCTTATTATTGGTCAATGATTGCATCCAATCATAGAAATATTCTATCAATTCTCCCTCGAATGAATGTTCACAAAATACCTGAAAATGATTGAAAATACCTTAGACATGTATTGGTTTTCATTCCCACACTCAGATAAAAAAAAAAGTGATACATTTGGATCTTAATTTTAAAGATGTACAGAAAACATCATTTATCCTTTAGGTAAATAATAGAAAAATCCCTGAAAAAAAACTTTTTCTTCCTGAAGTTTTCTTAGAACCTGTTTTTTTAATTTAAATGTTGAAACCATCGGGGTGAATTTGATCAGAGCTTGGGTTTTATTTGAGTTTCTTGAGAGACAATTTTCATAGCTGACAGTCACATGACATTCAATTTCACTATTAAGAGAGTGACGTAAACCCGGCTCAGCCACTGATCACTCAACATTTCCATTTCTCCATTTACTCAGTTCGATTACAGAGGTTCAATTGAAGTTTCCCTCACCCTTAGTCCGAAACATCTGCCTTTATTCCAGCCTCTGATGAATATTTTGACAGTTATCAGCTGGAGTAGAGTCAGAAGAAAAAAGACCCTGTTAAATGGGGATTTTCCACACCTCCAAAGATGCGTTTTCTCTAACATAATATTGAATTACCTTTAAGATGATTGTAAATTAGTATTGGGCATCACCGTAACTTTTGTTTTGTTAATAACACATGACTCTGTGACCTTTGAACTTTTGATTTTAAATGGTCAATGCTAGATCAGTTTTGCCAAAAAAATGGTACTGGTATGACTGAACTACAAAAATATTTATCTTTCCAAATATACCTGGGTTTTGCAGATCCGAGGTATCTTAATAGGTTTAAAACTCCCCACAGTGCGGAGATGCGGAAGGTCACAATTTAATAGGCCTTATTATTTCTGTCTCTACACCAACTGACATCTGTCCAAATAGCTATAAGAGGCTGGAATAGAGACAGATGTTTCGGTCCAGCTAGCACTTACTTATCATAGCCATAGCATACTGCATTTAAAGGGATACTACGTCTTAGGATGGACATAAAATTTTAACATTGCTCAAATTTGGTCAATAACAGTATATATCCATCAGTGGACTTACCTGGTGTCCTAACTATACATCAAAATCCCTCTATAATCCGATATATCCACAAAATCAAGTAATTAATTATAAAACGCTTAATACATCCAATAAGCGATTTTCAAATCGTGAGTCTAGGAAATCCGGTGTAATTTTAAAGGGGGAGTAACTCTCAAATGGGGTTTCCCTCTTCCTTGACCTCTACTCTTGAATTGAAGACGGAATAATGATGCCTCGTAGGAGATTAAGCGACTCCGCGAAAAAGCAATTCATATAATTTAGAATGAATACTCCACCACTGACACAATTTTCAACGAATATTAATCATTGGCAAAGTTGTTTGTATACACCGGAAGATGACTGTTTCCTGTTTTAGCGTTGATTACCCAGACTCTTTTTTTCAAACTGAACGGATTCATGGCTTGCTCACTTTTTTTTAAAATTAGGATTATAGTTTTATTGTCGATTTTTCAAACTTGATAAAGTGTGGGATGCATACTTATTTAACCAATGGTCACTATTAAACACAAATATTAGCCACAGGGCGAGTGTATTCTAAGACGTAGTATCACTTTAAACATTCAAATCAAGGAAGGACGACTGAATTGGAGCCAGGAGAGCACCTAAAGTTGACTGTATTTGTACTAAATTCTAGACTTTGTAATTTGTTCGTCAATGTATGTCTTATCTTATAGGCCCTATGACATAAGAACAAAAAAACAAAATGAAAGTAGACTAACCTGCAGTAGGTTTTTATCGATTTTATGGTCGTGCGAGGATATATTAGCAAATATCCCATGTATTCTATCTTTTTCTTCATCTGTAAAGCAGGTTATATCATTCACATAATCATTTTTACTTTCAGAACCTCCCATTATTCAAATATCGCAATAAACTTCTCACTTTGACATTTTACGAAATAAAAACAAATCACACGTGACAGTGAGCGTTTCCGGTTTAACAAGTCTTGCAACAACCGAAAAATCCAAAACTGCCGAATACTTCTAACTTTCTCAAACGATGGATGTTCTGCATCGTTTGTGAAAAGACAGCCAGTCTTAGCTACGGAAAAGAATAGAAATATCAAATTTTTAACTTGACAGGAGTCACAGGCAGCAGTCTTTTCACTGCCGATAATCACCAAAAATTTTTCAGAGAATTTGAGAATTTATGGAATTGTGGCTAAATTTGTTCTTACTAGATTTCTTCTACTTCGTAACCAATGTTAAACTTAAGCGACCCCCCCACCCCCCCGGCCCCCTCTAGCTGTATTTTCAGCTCAATTCGAATTCATAGGAACATATTTGTTTAAACCTATCATCGTGGTGCAAGTGACCATGGATTGCTATCTGTAGGATTAGATGGCGGATTCATTTCAACGACAGGTGAAGATGTCTGATGTCAAGGATATTGATTCAAGAAAGCCAAATCATGCAAGTCGAGTGTCAGTGCCCAAATTGATCGCGTCCCAAGAGACAAAAAACAGTATATGCACGTGCATATCGTCTTCATTTTGACCTACATTTAAAACCAATAGCAATAGAATTCGACAGATTTAACAGACATTGTTATAAATAATTGGTGATTCTTCTGGAATAATATCAATTAAGATACATAAGACAGTAAAGATAATATCGGATAATTGCACGTGTTTTTCATCAACTGGGAAGGTTATTCAGAATAGTATCCCCTTCAAACAAAACAATGCCATTCTATGTTAAGAATCGTCTTTGCATTGATTTGGTTTTATTTGATTGAATGTCAAATGTTATTCTGAACACTAAGAGGGTTAACTCTAATCAGGTTCCATGAGCTGGCATAGCTTAAAGAAAGACAACCAAATCATTTTAAAGTAGGTCTTGTAGTTTTATTATCAATTAGTTTGTTTTTTAACGCCTTAAAAGTGAAAGTAGGTCAAATAATGATTGTCTGAGAATGGATTACGTTGAATGGTTGAAAGCATGATTTCATTTTAATGGTCTTCTTCAGACTTGTTAGAATGTATCCATCTGGAAAATGTTCCTAAATAACATACGTCATAAACTCCATTATCAGAGATTCCAGAAACCACAAAATCTTTAAAATAATTACTACAATATTATAGTGATTCCGTTTAATTATGCTCAAATTTTATTGTTATATAAGAAACTGTCTACTACAGTATAAAACTTAATGTACTTCTGGAAAATGAATTACCGCCGCATGGCTGATATTGAGTCCTAGATTTGGAATTTGTTCGTCGAGCTGGATGAAGTACCAGTACATGATTAGGCCTACATTTGAGTTATAGTCCATTTACCATTCCATTTTTTAGAAGTCGGTTTATGATAAGGATCATAATCTTCTAATTTCCACACGAGCTTTGGTCAGTTATGTTGAAAGGATATTAACTTTAATAGCTTGGTTGGATTCATTCTGTTCTTTGCCTGTTTCAAAGGCCATCCAATTGATCATAAACCTTTTGGAATGTTTTTTAGATGACATCGATGTACTGCCTTCTTACTTCCCACGGGCGTGGTTATCATTGTCTCAACTTTTGGTTTAAAGAGCTAAAAAGAAATTTACCAACTATTTCGAAACTAAATTAAGAGTGAATGTGACTTCAAGGCTAATGCCATAATCAAACGAACCAAGATTAACTACTATAAAATATCTACTTGATAACCTATATATTAACTACCCTTAAATCATATTCAAGTCCAATCAGCCAATAGCATGATTGACACTTATTTATGGTAAAATGAAGCCTATTTGATTCTAGAACATTTAATGAATTTCTAATCAACTATTCCCTTTTGTTCACAACTCAAAGTTGCGACGAATTCGTTCCAATTTTTCAGTAATCACAATGCCGAGGACAGAGTGACTACACGAATGACAAGAAGTAAAACGTAATATTGTAAGACACGGTTTTGATCTAGATCCGATGCAAATCTAGTTATAGTTGGGCTGTAATAAGGTCACATAATAGAATATAAAGTATGAACACATAATAACCAGAAAACAGTATTTAAACCTATCACATTTAGAAGACACATCAGATTACAGATAACAATAATTATAACACATACAGATACAGAATTAGCAAGCTTGTAGATCGACACATCTGATTCTATTCCAGCCTTTGATTAATATTTTGACAGTTCTGTTGTCGAATGGAGATGACTCAGAGGAAAAAGGCCCTATTAGATGGGGATTTTCCCACACCTCCAGAGATTTCTTTTTTATAACATAATATTAAATTTCCTTTACTAAAAATGTGTTGGGCATTACCCATGTTCCTTTAGCAACTATCAGGAATCTTGAAATATTTGGAGTAAAAGCACGGTGATTGAAAATAGCAGCCTTCATTCAATCATCAGAAACTGTTGCAGATTAGCACCAACCCACTTGTCTATCAGTGATCGATGTGAAACTTAACAGAAAGGTACTTAAACGTGTCCTTAATATTCATTCATCATTTCAGAAAATTCTAACGCTTCCTTCCATTATAAATCAATTTTCAAAATACATGTGGTCAGGTGGAATTTTTCTTGGTAACGATTTTGTCTGTCTCTACACTAGCCGACATCTGTCCAAATAGCTATCCGAGAAAGATGTTTCGGTCTACCAAACTTGCTGCCTTTTGCTAGGATACACAAAATGTAAGCTGTTTCGATACTTATATCGAGGTCAGCTGGGTGTTGACTGAAAATGGAGTAGCTGACAGGCTTCGTTCATTGATCGAACTGGTTTTCTATTGATAGATCATTAACGACATAATGAAAGAAATTTTCATGTCCTTTCCGACTGGGTGAACGCATGAGGGCGCAGGGTCTGATTTTAGTACTTAAAATAGAAAAGAGCCAAGAAATAGCTTGAAAAGAGCCTCTATTTTAGAAAAAATTAAAAATTATTCTTAGTCCATCAATAGATCATTGGCAGCTTGCCTAAAAAATTATCTTGTCCTTTCCAACTTGAGTTAATCTTCTGACACTGCAATACGCCGGGCAGTTTTCGGATATATACGGAAGATTGAAATTGAACTATGATTTGAAAATAATACCGCGTTAAGCGTTTGATAAGCGTAGGACCCCCGCAGGACTTGATTGGGCTGAATGGCGATCGACAGTAAGCTTACGAGATTATTGATAGGCCTATACCGTAGAAAGTAGAGACGAATACTGGAGGAACGTGATCGGATACGATGCGGACACGACTGGCTTCTACAATTTTATAAAATAATAATAATAATTTATTATTTACGTGTCACCGTCCGTATATACAGAATATAAAAACATCAAAATAATTACAATATTATAACAAGAACGCCTGCCAGCAGTGCCAATTCCATGTTTAAAAATCCTATAGAGCCTAAGCTTGTTGCCACTAAGCCATTTACTCGTAAGCCGTGTTCCCTAATTCCATAACCTATCTAAGGTAACAGGGTCATATTTATTGTAAATTAAACATAACTTCACTCGAAGTTGATAGACGCAATTGTCCCCAAATGATTTTCGACGAAAACCCCAATTTATATAGTAACGACTATTCCGCATCTGAACCAGTGCCTCACCTATTCCAAACTTTATGCGAGTCTAGATTAGAAAGCCTTTACTAAGATAGGAGTATGACCCACCTAACCGTAGAACAAGATTTGATTCAATGGCGATCTATGGAGTAAAATTTTATATAGTAACCGCATCAAAACCAATGCCTGGTCTATTTGCAGCTTTATGCGAGACTAAATTGTAGTTTTACTTCCTTTCGTGGGTTGCATTTGTATTCAATGAAGTTCATAGTCTATATTATTACAAATATTTATGTACAAACTACATTTTCATCATACATACGTGTATATAAAATAGTTATAGGAATTATTGAAATTATAACTAAGAAATCCTTATAAAAGATTTCATTTTCATTATGGTATTAATTACAGAAAGAAATATGAATTCACGTGAATGTACTATCACTATGTGAGTTGCCTAGTGAATAAGTTTAAATCGAAACCGGACTATGTTTTCTGATTACCACCGATAGATGTAAACTTTTTGGCAAAATGGAATTTTATGACTTCACGAAGTGTTGGTATATCACACCAACTGTGACTCTTCAAATGATTCAAATTCTACTGCATAAAACTTTATAAATTATCGCAAAATAGAAAGGTGATAAGTGTTTCGATTTTTATGTTATTTCTTAAAAGCTAACTTCCGATTTTCTTTTTTCTTTTGTCTTCTAAATTTTACTAAATTTCAATATTAGTTCAAATTTCTTCTTCTTTGGCGCTTGTGGGGGGCCTCCATCGCCTGTACTCACTTTCGCTGTCCAGTGATTTTTCTTTGATATTAAATATTTCTTTAATCCTTGTAATTTTTGTTTGAAGCTTTTTTTCTCCTCTTTTATCTCCTCGGATATCTCTCTATATACTTCCATCTTATCCCAAGCTCCCCTCTTCTTCTCGGGATGCTTCTGAACAGTTGAACAAGCTGAATCAGCTAAGAATACAGAGTAGTCTGTGTATTCAACATTTGATCTTTTATTGAGAAATTCCTTCTTAAACCCTTTTACGGCATTGCTATTTCTACTTTGATCATGTTTTCTGCTCTTGCTTTTAGACTTTTCTGTTTCGTCTTTCGTAATGTTTTCTATTTTTTCAACGTCCATTGTACCGCTGTTAACTGTTCCTTGACTTGGTTTTTTGTCTTCATCTGTATTTGGATCCACTCTAATGCTATGAATGCTCGCCCTCTGCTCATTAACCTCCACAGTCGTTCCCCTGACTGAAAGAGGATCTAACATAGTACTTGTCGAGTGGCAAGTCTCTTTTCTTGCAGTGTCATTCACTATCTCGCTATTGACAATTGAAGGATTTTCTTCCACCATGGTATTCTGCTGACTTCCTTCTCTCTCTAAGGCCCTTTGCTTCATTCGTTTTCTCCTCGCACTGTAAATACGACTTCGGATACTCCTTCTCTTTTCTTTTGGTTCTTCAGGACTCTTTGTAACTACATCAATCGGCTTATCCTCATCCAGCCATGAAAGATCTAGCTTTGGGATATACACACCATTTACAATTGTGCACTCAACGCCATTTTCACCAAATCTACGAAGTACATTTCTTTCTGCATTATTGGTGTATTCTGTGTCGGATCTTGCACAATCAGGATGTAACCTTTCTCTTATTGGAGCTCGACACATTGATCCCCTTTCTTGGGACTGTCTGTCTTTTGTAGGCGATGTATTTGTTTGCTGAATTTGTTCTTTTGGTCTCTGCCGTTTCTTCTTCTTCTTTGCTCCTTTTGGGAGACTGCTTGGACTTTGCGACCCTCGAAGTAGACATGTTGTTTTTTGACGACCTTGATTCTGACTCTCAGGATTATCTTTTCTGTTCTCTCCCTCCTTTGGATTACGAACATAACTAGCTGAGGTACCTTGCTGACGAATTGGTGAAAGGGGTCTACGTGGAATAGGAAGTGGGCGAGTAACCGTTTCTTTGCCTTTAAAATGTCTGTCATAAGTCCCTGTTTTTCTGTTCGCAGTAGTCGTTCTTTGATTGATGGATCAGTGGTTCAACCCTGATAAAGAAGTAGTCGGTATGAGACTCTTTGGCATGGGAAGTGGACGAGTAGACCTGTGGTTGATGTTTTTTGGTAGAGGAAGTGAACGCGCTTTGTTTCTTTTCCCCCTTCTAATTTCAGATTGGCCTACTGTTTGCGTTTTTGTGGGTGTTATCACGGACTGCTCTTTTGATGGAATCCTTGATTGATTGGTTGTCGGGTTCCGTGTAAGTGGTGTTGGTATTCCTGTTGTGCTACTACTAGATTTGCTACACCCTACTATGTTGACCTGTCTAACATCAGTTGACGTTTGGCTAACTGTATTAATTGGTCGATTGTGGCTTGTAACGATGGTATCCACACTCTCGTAACAGCAACACCAACATCCGATTGCCATGGCATTTACGTTAGGTTTTATAAATAAGTTAAAAATCACCGAAATCGTTCACCTAGATCATAAACACTTGATCTATGAATTCCTCACAAGCTTTCTTCAGTGAACGTAAAAATCCCCTGAAATTTGTTGAAATTGTGGAGCGCTACATCTGTTTTGCCTTGCGACGTTGTCCAGAATAGTAGACATCGTTTATGACGTCATAAAGCATATACGATTTTTAATTATCATAAACAGAGCTAGTTTTTTGTACGCAAATTCCTTAAAATATTAGACTTTTTTCTTTTGTTTGGTAAATAGATTTAAAGTGAACTAAAAAAAAAAAACTAACTGAATTGTAAAATGTTGACATAAATAAAGAATAAATGAGAAAGAAACACTGCACAGACACAAGCTGCTATTACCTATGTCAACTCAAACTAAAAAACGGTCAAGAGCAAGTTACTAAAATGTTATTTAATGTATAAATAATGTTAGTTGGTAGCATTCAGCATTTAGAATTGATGTCGCGCAAGCGTTCCATAGATAGGTAAGGTAAAAACAATTAGTGTTGGATGTACACTGAATTCGCACCTGGCACGGGATAGGTAGGAGTGGTTGTAACAATTCAGCTACATCCATAATATTGATAGATTAATGACATTAAATTATATAGTAATACTAATTACAAATGAAACAATTCTAAAATAATAGAGTATATACATTAATATTGAGGTATAGAGTATTGGAAATATTCAGGTTTTACAATAAAACTTGAATGTAAACGTTTTTGTATTTAACAAGGTTACTAAGATTATTTGTAAAATTTCAGTAGTAAACATGTAATTAGCAATTTAATTGAAAGTAAAGAAGTTATAAACAAGAGGTTTAAGGAACTAAATCAATAGCCTATATCTGTTGATTTCTTAAAGCCACAATATGTCACAAAAACCTAGTTACGAATACAACTTTGCCTACAAAATGGTTATTTTATAGTTTCCAATATCAGAATTAGAAGACAACTATAATCACAAGTGAATTGTACTTTAAGAGTTAAATTTGTTTCTCAGCAAATATTAGGCTAGTATCTATATCAGTTTATTTTGGTAATCTCAACTACACTTGATTTGATGTAATTATTAGATAGTATGATATGGTGTCTTCCCCCATCGCCCCTTCCCAATTCGCACCTAAACTATTTCCTTTCCGCCCCTTCTCCGTTTGGCCTCTTTCCAACATCGCCCTTTCCCATAACGTCCCCTTCCCAATTCGTCCCTTTCCCAGTTCGCCCTTTCCCACTTCGCCACTTCCTTTTCTATAATTTGACCACATGATAAATTATGCTTGTTCCGATTTGAATTCCGGTCCCGTGTGCATGTTAGAACAGGAGCAGTAGGAATTTAATAAAGAGTAGGCTGGAATGTCGCTGCCACGGCAAAATTTTCAAACCACAAACAAAATTAAGATTTTTATTCAATGACTTCAATTGGTGGAAATTATTTTAAAATGTTTGACGTCCTTTTCTGTCTTAAATTTAAAGCAATTCTTTGTCTGTATTCAACTTCCTTTGTAAGTGCAATGAAAAATGGGAAAGAGGCGAAATGGGAAAGGGGCGAACTCGGAAAGAGTTAGGGGGCAGAACGGGAAGGGGCGAAATGAAAAAAGGGTCTTTATGGGAAAGGAGAAATAAAAAAGGGACAAATCGGGAAGGGACATAATGGGAAGGGGCAAAATGGGAATAAATTAGGGGCGAATTGGGAAAGGGCGAAATGGTAAGGGACGATATGGGAAGAAACTCCTGATAAGGATAACGATGAAGCAACTTTTCTTGGAGATTTGCTTTCTATATTCGTCTGAAGTTGAATCATACTAATTTCATACAATTAAAAACTATCCAGAATACCTACCAGAAATAATGACGTTGTAATCTCTAGTCGAACAATTGTATAAAATATATTCACCAGAGTTGAAGATAAACAAATATTAGATCTTCTGCTGAAAGTTAAACTTACCATATTCTAATTTATTGCTTGCTAATATTGGCCCTTAATTTGATAGTTGGATGGTGATTATTCAGAATATTGCCAGAATTCTTAAAGACTGTACAGCCAGATAAGAAATACCTCATCAAGTAAGCGACCATAAAAAGGAGAAGCGCCCATCTATGGAAGCGTTTGAAAGGAGAATTTAAGTCTATCAAGCTATCTAGCTATTCTGGATGTCCGAAGGTAAAATTTGGCGGCATTGAAAGAAAAATGTTTACGCTTTAAAATGTTAGAATCTGGCCTTTTATATCTCCCAAAAGAATTTCTAATTATATTTAAACCCTGGTGGTTGTCAATAATTGTACACGTGCTATTGACATCAAGAGATTTATCAGCATTCTGAAGAATTTCAAGTTTCTTATTTTGTCATTTGTTTCTTTTTAGATAATGGATGTTGACAAGGCAAGATTTCTAATATGACTCGATTGATAGTCTGAGATGATTGGCCGCCTATTAGGTATTTTTTTGGCAAGAAACCATTCTGTTTATGGACTTTTATGCGCATGAATATGTCAATGGGAAATTATCTATTATCTATTGTTATTTAATTTATTATTGCTTATCTGTTTCCACAATAATTTGACCATGTAGAATTTGACCTTGGGTATAAAATAATTTGAGACCAAACTAATTAATTTCGACAGTAGAGAGTGTTCTGTAGGTCAGGTTTACTATACTGTCTTTTCCAAAATCGATCCACCTACACCCTTATAAGGTATTGTATGCATTCTCGTATTTCTCATTGTTTGTTTGCATTTCTCAATATTCATGTTTGCATTTCTCAATATTTCCAGATAAATAGGTTTATTCTAATACTGGAGTACTGTGAGTTGAAGGTTTCGTCCAGAAAAAAGAATATTGTCATTTGTCTTGATTAGTTTGCACAGAATGTCATGTAGTCCAAACATTAATTTCTCCTGTAAGAAAATGTTGAACTTTACAAGAACACAGTAATAATTTTATTAATATTTTGACAACATATTAAGCTGCTAATGTCAAACACATTGTATAGGACATCTCAGTGAAAATGTCACACAGGTTGAACTCTAATTTTCAAAATTTTTATTTGAATGTTCAATGAAATATAGACATTTTATGATACAGATATTGCGAAATAATTTCGTTTGAGTACTTTATTGAATATAAAAAAATCTCTGCCGATTTCTATGTAACGGAAATTACTGTCATGGAAATCTTCAGCGAGAAATTTAAATGTACAAATGAGATCGGGTACATAGTCGGGGCTTACAAATACTTATGTCTTCAGTTTTGCCGCATTGCCCAACTGCACAAAACGACTTGTAAAACGAAACTAAAGGTTTCTGATAAAATCCGGAATGGCCATTTCTTTCACACGACGTATGTGGACGTATATTGTCGGCACCCCCGTCCGTCCGGACGGACAACATTTACTTGTAAACGCTCTAAAAACTAGAGTGTTTGAAGGAATCAAATGAAATTCGGTATGTGCATACATATTCATGAAACGAAGGTCCGTCGGTCCTTCCGTTCGTCCGTCCGCCCGTCAACATTTGCTTGTAAACGCTCTAAAAACTAGATTTTTTGATGGAATCAAATGAAATTCGGTATGTGTATACATATTCATAAAACGAAGATCAAGTTGAGCTATTTTCGACCGTTAGAAGCAGAGTTATTGCCCTTGCCCCAAAAAATGAATATTTACCATCCGCATGCCGTGGTGAGCGTATATGGCTGTGGTCCACTATCTAATTTTTCTTTTTTCTAACGCAGGTTCGTCGATTTATAGAGCACATCGAATACGAGAATTTTAAACTTCTCATCGCTTGATAATTCTGATTTACTATTCAGAAGATTTTCACTTTCCGACATTTCAGTTGCCATTTTTTCTAGCACCAGGGTGACGTTATTGGCACGCAGTAGAGGGACATAACTCTTGCAAGTTATTACCAAATTTATTTATTGCACTTGTCTTGTTTCGTTTTATGGATTTATGTATTTTGTATTACGGTTCTGATCGTTTTGCTTTGTATTATTTTATTCCAGATTTTACCATAAAACTATAGTTTCGGTTGCCCTAACAGGTCCAAATTATACATAATAAAAAAAAAGATGAGGGACAACAGATTAAAATATTTCGTTTCATGTAAAAAAATGACCATTTCGGATTTATCAGAAACCTTTAGTTTCGTTTTACATGTCGTTTTTGTGCAGTTGGGCAATGCGGCAAAATGAACCCACCGATAGACAACCCTGCAATACTGGCCAAGCACAGAAGGGCTATTTGTGATCCACACATTTCGTTCCACACACACTCTTCTATAATAGGTGAACTATTTTCAGTTATATTGTATTGTAAACATTGTTACATTTTCACAAGTAATGTTCATACTTTAAGTTATTTTGATCGCAAAATCAGTTTCATTTCTCTACACTCGAGATCAATGGTTGTTCATTGCTATCTTATTCTGCTAGTTTGGTACGGTATTTTGTATGACTGGATGCCTTTTACGGAAAACACCCTGTGTATTCACACCCCAGAATGACGATGTTCCAAACGCTCATATGCAGGTACATGGGTTACAAGTTTGGTTCATCTTTTTAACCGAGTGCTATCTAATTCGACATTATAGTATGAAAAATTACACCAACATGTATGATAAGTCATAGGTTATTCACGAGATAATACAGATTTCTTTAGTTTTCTATGCCAAATTGAAATATAGTTGTGGAATCAGCATGTAGGGTTGTTTTTATGAACTTCTCCATGGAAGATAATCTGAAATTTTTAAAATGAGAGTTATTTCTTTGGGTTGTAGATTGGAATGCAGTTTATATATTACGTAATATTAAAGTGGTAGGCGGTGGGTGTAAAATTCCGAACTGTCCGAATTGGGTCAGCAAAGACATCGAAACTAAATTTGCGCCAAAGGTGTTGCACAAATTCGGGAATCAAAACATTTTGCATCAAAAAAACGATTATTGCAGAAAAGATAAGACTAAAATACAGATGTCTAGGTAAACTTTATTGGCAGTGATATGGCACAGCTGATTAAAATATATATATAAAATTCATTTTTGATTTTGGCTGCCGACATGAAAAATGGCCAGCCAACCAGTTACCAATATAATATAGATAATGATATACACCAAAATTATTGATTGATCATAATATAGTATTAAAGTCAGTTCTTTTACTGAATCCATATTTTAATTTAAAACCATGAAACCATCCAAATATTTTTTAAAACCATAAAACCATCCAAATATTTTTAAATCATCCAAATATTTAAAACCATAAACGTATATACATGCTTGACCCTGAGTGTACAGGGGTCAACAAGCATTGGACTTGAGCTCCAGCAGCACTCCAAATCCGATTTTATAATCAACTGAGATTAGAAGTGTTGTTATAAATGCCATATGATGGCAAAAGCTGCAAACTTGCAGTATTGTCATCACCGCCACAACAAAAGCCCGTCTGTGAGCGGTAGTTACAACACTTCTCATCAGCTGGCCATATCACCCAGTTCAAAATGAGAGAAAGTTAAATAGAAAATTATGGGGGATAAACCTTCCCTTGACCTAAATGAAAGAACTCTAGGGCCCCCTGTATTGTGTTGAGGAATATATTGTTTCCTATCTCTGAGAGGTGTAATTGATCATGTCTGTACAAGTTCTTGTTACCAAATTTTATGTCTGGATATCTTATCAAAGCACCCCCCATTTCCAAAATGCGTGCAGTAGCATAATTATTTAAACGTGAACGTTTCCTTGCAAAAGCCTTCCCATCCGTTCAGTGTATTCTGGGTAATATTTGAGACCATACCAATAATGTATTAGAGTACTTGTTATATAAGAATTTTAGTGTGGTTTTAATAAAGTCTCTAAACTGATCAAGTTTAATGTGTTCAATGTCATTACCGCCACAATGAAGTATTAAAATATTTGGTGGTTCCTCTTCAATGTGGGATAAGAAACATAGCTTACGTTTTAGGTCCAGGAATCTAAGACCTCCATACCCTTGTCACCAAATGGATATATTATGCCTATTATGTAAACCCAGGTCTAGTCCTCCTGGACGAGTGTGGGCATGAGTAGCGGCCCATTTAACTATAGAGGACCCAACACACCACACTCTGATAGGAGCCTTACCTGAAATGTATGTAATAAGAAAAAGATTAGTAACTTATATTAGGGATGCGTACATATGATTTGTAAGCTAGAGATTTCCATCTGCCTGCAGTTTGAATGCCATTCTGATTATGTCCTGTCATAGAGGCTGTTGTTGCAGCTCCAATTCGGAAGGAATGTGATTTATAGTTGTGACTTGGTATGCCTAATAATTGTAGGCATTTGTTCAGAATTGAACTAAACTGATATCTTGTTAGAGGCTGACCATTAAAATGGCATAATAATGGCCCTTTAATGTTAGGTCGTGACTTAATAAATTTCCCAACAAAATTTAAAGGGCAAATTGGTCCATTACATTTAGGAATAGATATTATAGAACCTTTGTTAAATTGATCAGTCTTGAAATGCCGTAACTGGATTTCCAAAGTATTCTGTGATAACAGGACATCATCTACAGAAACAATGAATTCCAAAACATTACCCCTTGACAACACCAATTCACCTACCCTAAAAAACCCAAAGAATGCTAGTATATATGCAGCCTGGAAAAGTTCTGTTTCATATTTGTTTGCACAAGTAATAGGCAGGATATTTATGATTCTGTTTAATAATGGCAAAGTTATTGGAAGTCTACTATCTCTTCCATTCTTGACTCGTCTCATTCCTGTCAGTAGCTTTGCAACAAGAAAATTGTCAGTCGTATTTTCAACATTTATAATTTTGCATTTAAAAGCAATGCTGGAAATGTAGGACTTTACAGTTGAATATTTAAGTTGTTTAATTGACAGATGACCAATAAAATTTATGATATGATCTAAACTTGGTGGCCAAATTTGAGGCAAATTGAATTGTGAACGAAAATTCTCAAACTCTCCTGTATTGTATGTTGTTTTTGTATTTTGTGCAAGACTTAAACTCAATAGTCTTGTAACTTCAGATTGGACATCATTTGTAACATAGGTTCTGGTATTGGTTGTGGTTTGTTGTCCGCAGTTGGAGCTACTTCTCGAAATTTGGACCATTCCTTTCGGTAAATATAATCAGCAATTTTATTATCAGTACCTTCAATATGAACACTTTTAAATGTGATGTTATATTCTAACATGTGAAGGACCAATGGACGGACTAGTTTCATAACTCGTTTAGATTTGGATGTTTGTGTATTAATGATTGATACAAGTGCTAAGTTATCTGTGTGAAACTTTATTTGTTTGTTAGCTAATTGGTCACCCCAAATTGCAACAGCCAAAACAATGGGCACTAATACTAAAACTTGAGGTCTTGAGAACCTGCACTGTCTGTATATAGATGAAGAATATTTGATGATACCCACTCTCTTTCTGGAAAATATCTCACCCCATTAAAGTTCGATAAAAATAATGCTCACATATTTAAATCTTCTCTCATTTCGTTACTGATTCTAATAAAATGATAAGATTTTTTTACCCCAGACATAGCGTCATAGAATCTTCTATTGAATGCTCTGGCAGATCTTATTGCCTTGCCAAAAAAATTTAACATTCCCACAAGTGATTGGAGCTCATTTAGTTTTACTTTTTTTCGTGTTAGGAAATAGAAAATTTTAAATTTCAGCTGAATAATTTTTTCTTCAGGAATGCAAACTTGCAATTTGGATGTGTCGATACCCAATCCCAAGAAAACTAACTTTTTTGTTGGCCCTTCAGTCTTCAGATAAAGGTATTCCTATTTCATTACACATAGATTGGAAGACATCCATCAATGCCTTACATTTATACTGACACTTGCAGAAAAATAATCATCCAAATAGTGGTCGACTCCAGTTTGTTTTGATTTTGAAATTATAAGCCAATTTAGAAATGTTAGGAAAGTTTCGAAAATAGAACATGAAATTGAACAGCCCATTGGAAGACATTTATCTACATAGTATTTGTCCATGAATTTGAAACCCAAAAGATCAAAATCTCCAGGGAATACCCTTAAAAGCCGAAAAGCTGACTTAATATCCATTTTTCCTAAATAGGCATCTTGGCCTAACAGCGAAACTCTTTCAATTACATCATCAAAGGACGTATATGACACTGAACACAAGTTTGGGTCAATAAAATGATTTATACCATTATTTTCCGGGTAAGATAAGTGAGTGATCATCCTCCACTCCCCATCTGATTTTTTGACAAGCCCTACAGGGGAAATGTGCAAATTGGAAATGGGTGGGTTATCAAAAGGTCCAATTATCCTGCCCAATTTAATTTCTTTTTCCAATTTAACCCTCATTTCAGTTTGATTCTGTATTTCAGATAATAAATTAGGACATTCAGATTTTAGCCTTGGACCAGAATATTGTAGTTTAAACCCATGTGAAAACCCATATTTTAATTCAATTGCTGACTTTATATTAGGATATGAATCTAGGTATTTTAATAATATATCAGTTTTAACGGGGGAAGCGCCCAGGTGCCATATGTCGCTGATTAGTGTGCTTGTAGTTATGTGATCCTGAATTTGCTTGATTTCTGTATTGGGAGTTGTGTTGTCTGTTGTTAGGGGATGAATATCTGAAATTGGAATTCATTTTCTTGAGGTTGCTATTTATTGAACCATTGTTATTACAATATGTTTTTGGATGATCAGAGTTGCATTGTATGCAGGTATGTGTGTATTGACAGTTTGTGATAAAACATGATCCTTTATTATTATATTCAAAACATTTTCCAGTTGTAGAAAAACCTGAATGAAATTTATTTGCAGTTTGAATTTTTGGATTATTGGTATTATTAGCCATATATATTAGCCAAAGCTCATAATCAACATTACCCCATGAGCTAGTAGGGTCAGCGGCTTTTCTTAATCTAAATTGTTCGTCATATGATTTCCATCCCATACCCTTGGATCTAGAGGCCCCTAAGCGCACAGATCTCATATATTTGAGAAGATCTTGAGATTTACAAGGATGTGCAGAAATGTATATACTCATAAATATGATAATCCGTCCACTTTTCTATATCTAATATCTTAGATGATATCTTCTCTTTAGAAATGAGCTCCCCAGTGTGACTTATGGATAGGAGTCTTTCAGGCTCCTTAGTTGTGGTCCTTAGCATAAGAGCTAAATCCACATATTCACCCTGACATATCTTTTGCCTTGTTGATAGGGGTACATTGTATCCAAGAATACTATGTGTACTCTCAACAGGATCTGGTGTGTTAATAACAGTGGAAATGACAGTTCCACTATTCTGCTGACTATCGTCAGCAGCAATTAAAGGAGTAAGCCCACAATCAAAGTTTACAGGCCCCTCAATATTAGAAGCAATAAACACATTACCTGGAGCCCCCAAGGGTAAAATTGGTGTTTCATTATTGACATTATTTGCTGTGTCTGTATCTACATAACTAACATTATCATTTCCATTAACAACAGTACTTGTAGTAGGCCTTGTCACCTCGGCACCATTATCATCTTGAATATTATTTGTGGCATTTCTGGGTCTAGGTCTAGCATATGGACTAGAACTGGTACGAGTAGATGATCTGGTACTCTTAGCATTTGATACTTTCTTGGACCTTCCTTTTCCCATGATCAGTAGTGACAGTTAGGAAAATAGAAAATTAAATACATATTTTTTTTTTATCTTAGACTATATTTGACTCTCAAAATCGACTTAGATTTTAAGTTTCAAAATAATTTATTTAGTTTTGAAGTTTTTAACAGTATTGAAAAAACTAGACTTAGGCTTAAAGTGACAAACTTTTGAATTTTAAAGCCGTGAGACCCCAATTCTTTGAAAGAGCATGGGTCCTAATCAATAATTAAATTCTGATAAAATCTATGCCATCCACTTCTTATTTCCTTATCTATCCAAATTACTTTGAAAATAAATGCTGAAGGAAGCTTAAACAAATTTTATTTTGGTTGGATTGACAATTAAAGTGTTGAATTTTTCAAATTTCTGATGGCTGATTTATCAAAGAGGAAGTTATAGGCTCTAAGCTGCCCCCTGTTAGAGATTTAACTAGGCTTAAAAGGAGAAACTAACTGACTAGGACTGTGCATCTTTAATCTGGATAATCTAGTCTAATCTAATCTAATCTATTTAAAGTGATGAATCAGATGTATTGTATTATGATTTGCTTAAAGTAGCTGTGTTAGAATGTAATATAATCTAGTTAATGATGAGTATGTTTTTTGCAGTAAATAAAGCAAGGTATCTCTCAGCAATAAATTCATCTATTGAATATACAATAGATGTGAATATTTTTATAAGCTTTCATTTGGTCAAATCACAATTTGTTTCTTTATTTTCGTGTACACCGTGTTAGTTTATAATAATGCCGTTTATGAATTGATATTTTTGATTTTTGATAAATATAATCGCTATTATTCAATGGACACTTTTTGTGGTCAAACGCGTCTTCCCATTATCTCCCTTGAATCGCAACCATGACATGTAAGGTGACAACACAGTGGGAGATTTAAATCTAAATAGCTACCAAAAGTTTGAACTCTTGGTTCTTGCTGTTTCCCACAACCAGGCAACATCTTCCCCACCCTTGTCTCCTTAACATTCAGAAAATGTGTTGGTCGATAAAGGGGCTGCGGGAGAAGATTGGAAACACAACTCTACAGCTACGTGGAAACCTGTTACAGACGTTTTAGGGAATTACACTCACAGTCGGATTCAACTACTAGTACTACTCCTCCATGCTATATCCTCAGAGATATGTCTAAAAAAGGAGCTGCTAAGCCTAACTGGTAAAGGTTACGTCATGACAACAGTATACTATAATAATAGTAAAAATACTAATGTGAAAAGGAAAGTGACTGAAGTCACAAAGTTTGATGCCAATGTGAATGATGGGAACAGGCTAACATGCAGTGAGTAAGACGGCACCATTATAAATTAGCAGTGTGTACACGAAAAATAAAGAAAAACTTTGTGATTTGACCAAATGAAAGTTTTTAAAAATATTCGTTTTTAGATGTAAAATGTTTTGCTTCTCGAATTTGTGCACGACCTTTGGCGCAAATTTAGTCTCGATTTGTTTGTCTTTTCTGACCCAATTCGGACAGTTCGGGAATTCGGAATTTTACACCCACCGAGTGGTAGGCTAGTATGTACCATCATTTAGGATATTTTTGATAATCAATAGATGAGTTGGATAAAGCTCTATCTTGCAGTTACCCATATTCCTCTTACATTTTTTGTAAGCACGATAGAAGCCACAAATTTCATCAGGATTCAGGATATCTCAGGACTTAAAATTTGACATTATTTCGATGAAGAGTTACTGCCCTTAGTAAAAATCTGTCCATATCGACTTGTTAACAGGGCAGAAGCTACAGATTTCATATAATTTGATTGAAACTAAGTTTGCTTATATGGATTGTCGAGATCTCGATTAATAAAAAAAGATGTTTTGATTAACGGTTTAAGAGTTATGGCCTTTGATACTCAAAACATGTCAATTTCAATTGTTAGCTTGCTATAGTGGGTTGAAACTTGGTTTTGAGTTGAAGACGTATCGTTGATATTTTTGTTAGTATTAATATAGGTTTGTCAAAATCATATTGTTAAAACCATGCAAAATTTAATTTATAAAATTTCAAACGAACTAGGTCTTCATTGTTATTTAGATCTCTAAAATAAGGCTACAATGTTCAGTTTGGATCACACAATACATAATTGTTTTACTGATGCCGTGGACGTATGTTAACTTGCCTGACAAGATATCTTTTAAAAATTGTAACCAGTGAAGTTTTTAACAGTAGGGTTTTCTGACATTAACAGGAAACAATTTACTTCACAGAAAGAAGACAAGATTTATTTTTAATTCATCTCCATTAAACTTAATTTTAATCTGAATAAGTGAAGAAATTTACTGATATGAATGTTATTTTAGAAGAAATATATTAACTTCAGAACTGGGTGACCATGACATGTATATTAACCCCATAAAAATCTGTTGAACAAATTAAAATCTTGTTTTGACAAATACATGTATTTAAATAAGCTTGTAACCACAAGAATTGAACGAATAAAGTGAATTTTATTTAAACATTCGAATGTTACCAGAGAAGTGAAATAATAATAATAATAATAAAACATAGACAATGTCTTTTTACATCATAGAAACCTTCCCAGGAACATTTTTGGTGGCTCAAAATACGAAATGCTGTAGACTTCCCTCTGAGGCATGTCATCTCAGATGAAAAGTTTCAAGGTGCATTTTTACATCCGATTTCTCGACAGTTTCTGTTCAGTTGTTTTAACGAAATATTTTTAGATTGGATATATATATATATAATACAAATTTACTTTCTTTAAATATGAAATATATCATGGCATCAAATTAAGTGAAGGTTCAATTGACAGCAATGACATCATCTGTTAAATTCATTTATATACTATGCTATGGGTGCGTGTGAATATACAGCTACTGATGCTGGTGAGATAAGGAATTTAAATAAAAGCAGTTGGATTGTGAATAATTCTGAAAATCCGCCCTTGATGAGTTGCTTTTTTTGTTTTCCTACCTTCTTTGACTCAAACAGAAGAAGCACTGAATTACAGATACTCTTACGAACGTGTTGCTTTAAGTATTGCTCCATTTTATAGTCACAAATGTTACTTCACCAGTATACAATGATTTAATTAACCGTTTGAAGTTACGATTATGATATCTTGAGTCATAAAACAAACTGCTATTGAAGACAATTTCACAACTTGAACCGACTATTTCCGGATAGACAAAGATTTTCGTTATCGATTGTGTCTGGTGTTCAATTCCACTATTTGTTTTATGTATAGGAGAGCCAGTTTCAAAAACTAGATGAACGATCAACCCATGTCCAATAATTTACTTACTCAATAATTGTGATACGTTAGTTGTTAAATCTGAGGAGATCAAGAAGTGTTGATAAAATCAATTAGATACACACACCAAGAATCAATAACACATATAAATTTCATTTACTTACAATAAATTTACTGTAAAAATAAATACCACTGTTCTGGGCTAATTTCATTCTGAAGATTGACTCAAGACACAAGAAAGTCGTATTGATTTCATGGACATAAAACAAAACAACTATAATCGCGATAAGTATATTGTCATTGAAAAGTGATTTGAATGGTTCAACTTATGATACTGTAATTTGGAAAAAGATTTCTACATTTCATGTAAATATGAGGCTAAAATATTATAGTTTATCATTAACACATAAATACGTCTAATCCTGGAATGAAAACGAATTTCGTTTTTAGGGCCCATCCAACGTATTCAAAATCACAAGAATTTTGATTGAATAACGACTCGTCTTTTCTTAAGACTCTGTCATATATAGAAAATACCTTTTAAAGATAAAAGAATGAGAAAGTAAGCTTTTTTGTCCAGATCTTCTGACGGTGTATTTCTACTAAAGAAATGAGATTTTCTAGCTCAACATGTAAATTAGTGTAATATGAACATAAAGAAAATGACACCTGAGCCAGACATTATACCGTCAGCACATGATTGTAATTTCAGTAGAATAGAATATAGAATCTATTTGATATTTAGAACGTTGATATAGAATAATTAATTTATTTCATTCGAAGTTTATGTATATATTTTTCTACCTTAATTGTGAAAAAACGTAATTTTCTATGCCTTGTGGTTTACGATGAATATACATCTGTTATACCGTTCTTCTGTTAAAATAATCAACATTTACAATTGGTCATTTGTAGACATTATTTCAAAGATTAACCATCCGTGTTGATCGAAAAATACCAGATTTTAAGAAATGTTAATCGATGAAACATTTGAAATCAAGTTGTTTTATGTGTACAGTTAAACCATGTAATGTTGTATCTAAACCTAAATCCTAGACACATCGTTAACAGTATGAATTATACTTATAATTATACTGATTGTATTGTAATTTAATTTACAAGCTTAACGAATTTTGTCTACAAATTGAATTACACGTACTTTAAAATACATTTCAGACACCCTCATCAATTACTTCCAGGAAGATTCCATGGTAAATGAGGATCTAATTGTTATTTTAAAGAGCCAATTGGAATCGGAATATTATTGTCACAGTGAATTTTCAACGACATGTTGCAACATTCAGAGCGTTCTTTGTCTTCAATTCTTACAAATTATAAACCTTTACCGCCTACTAATCGATGTTCGAAATGTTATGAATGGCATCTTGTTGACAAGCGGTTTTTCGAGATGATTTTATTATTGTGGGTTGTAATGACAAAAAATATAGCTGAATCTGATATTGATTTCTCTGTTTACAGTGTTTAGTTAAGACATATCTTGAATTAATAGGATACGTGCAAGAAAAGCACCATGAAAGTATGATCTATTTGTGATGTCATCTTCGTGGCCCTGTTACACTAATCCTATTCGAGCTCTACTTTGTGTGTCCTCTGACAGTGAAATTCAAGGTATACTGATAAATACACGTATGACCTTCAACATCGTCTTTCTACTGCTACAGCAAAAAGAAAAATATATATCACGTACATAGATCTGTTCAGAAAATCCATTCCTGCAACGAAGTTTCTGAGAGATCAATCTT